TTTAGATGAGATACTTTTTCTTTAGTTTTTTCAGCTTCAGAAATTTCTTCAAATTAAAAGACTCTGTGACCTGAAATCACAGACAATCTCTTGATCTGCTCAATCTGTAACCATCATCTAACCCTCACTGTTCCTCAGCCTTTTATGTTTGTTGAATGCAAATCAATACAGAACAAACATTATTGACTTTGTACCTAAATAGAAACTCTTGATTAAATTCACAATTTGGGGGGGATGACATGGATGCTAGAAAAGTGCAAGCAAGGACAATGCACCCATAAGGAAAGCTTCTGAAATAAAACTGGCAGCTTCACTTGCTGCCAGTACCCAATAGGTAGCACTAAAGAGTACAACACTCTAAACTGAAGGAGTACAAAATTCTCTGTATTTCCAGCAAGAGAGGTTTAAGATGACTGCTTAGCAGGATGAACACAGAGATTTCACTGTGGGCCACACCAAATACAGTGCCTGCTGTTCTGTATGACTGGTCACAAGGTTTGACTTATGGGTCTTAAAAATGCAGGTTTTCATGCCTGTTGACCAAGCAGGAGACAACAAAAAAAAAACCCAAACAAAACAAAACCAAACAGTTTTTATAACCTGAATTTTGAAAAAGTGAGTAGTCTCAAAACACACTAACAATTAACTTACCTTATACAGAATTTTCATGGTTCATTGGACACCTTTTTTTAATATACATTTGAACAACATTAACTAGCCTAGGCACGTAAGGAGGGCAGGTGGGTAACACTGAGCAATACCCAGTGACTTGATACACTTCAAGGAACAAAGCTGCTCATAACTACTAATCACTCCTTGCCCACTAAGAAAATCCTCATCAATCAGTGTCAATCTCTGTCAATGTGTTTGCAAGGAGAAATTCTTTTACTCTTATACTGAGTTTGTCATCAGTGCTAGTAACATCTAACAAAAATCTGGACAGCTTCTTCCTCTGACAAATGGCATTTTTGTAAACAAGATTCTATACCTCCTCAAAAAAAATGGTTTATTCATGCAAAACATATCATAAAGCTCTACAGACAACATTTATTCCTGGTGCACCCCTAGGGAATGAAAAACAACTAAACTTAAATACCAGTTAGTTTTGAGAAAAGTTGCCTGCAACAGAATTGATTCAAATTTCAAGGGTAGAATATAAGGAAAAAAGAAGTCCTTATAAATTGCTTCTGCCTCGCTCTGTGGCAAACATATCTCAAAAGGGGACAGACATCAGTGCTGCTTTTCCTGGTTCTTCCTGTAAAATTACTTTTACCTTCCTAATCTTGTTGGAAACATGAAAAACAACCGTACTCCATAATACAAAGATAACAAATTCCTTGTTAATAGTCTGCTTTTGCCCCCCTCAGGGAAAGCATTTAGAGGAGGATTATCAACTGACTAATTGCTAAACCCCAGCAGAACTACACTGGTTTATATTACAAGAGGCTCAGACTCTCACAGCCTAACTGTCCTATTGCTAACAGACAAACTTAGGAAACAGAAGCCTGCTTGCAAGTCTTTTGAAATCCAATCCTTTTTGGAAAGCATACTATTACTCAGGCTGAGTACACACTGAGACATACCAATCCAACCTAGTTTCATCTGGTACATTCCTTTCCCAGATTTAATTCCTATATTCAACAACGAGATGTGTTTGTTCATTAGCAGCATTTAAGTTCATTTAAAAAACTTTATCATCAGGCAATGTTCACTGCAACCTATTAAGAATTAAGACTATTTTTTAGCTGTTGGGAACTCTGTATTAAACTCTGAGGAAACAGGCTTAAAAGGGGGGATGAAAAAGGGAAAATAATTACCTGTCAGTACAGAGACCTGGGCACATGTGCAGTTCACAGACCATCATTTCATTTAATGATAAGAAAGCTTTTCCTCCTCATCACAAAGACAGTCTTAGACTTTCCTGTTCCTAGCTAGCGCAAGGGGGAGGCTTCATTTAAACTAATGCAAGTTAAGAAAGGTTTCAGAAAACCTCTTAAAGCCACCCTCTCCACCAGCACAGAATAGGTCTGGAGTGGTGCTGCTTGCAGATGAGCTTGAAGAACAGCCAATTCGGAATTCATGTGTGAAATCTGTCCACAGCTTTAAGAAAATTTTCTTATCTTGGACCACGTTCTCATTTAGTGAAGTCTGACAAGCAGAAAAAAAGCACAGCAGGAGCAAGCACAAATGGAGCCTCACGTGAATGGCTGCAGTGTACTATGTGAGATATATAAAGGAGAGGCTCCAGTGTAAATTTAGCAACCCTTTACTGACCAGACTAGTCACTGATGGCAAAACTATACTTTTGTCCGAAGCAGCAAAGGAGAAAGAAATGCATAACTAATCCAGAGTGTTAATTAGTTAATTAATATCCCAGAATGTTGTGCACAGAACCCCAAAATAAAGATTCCCAGAGGGCTGTGTTTGCATATCCACTCACCCATGACAGAGACCTTGAATTAAATGTCGGTCTTTACTTAAAACTAGCTGTGAACTGTGAGTTACTGGAGATCATGTTGCTCCTAATCTCACAACCCACAGCAGTCAATGCTCAGAGAGGAGAAGCCTCATCTGAAAGTCATTAAGGGGACCTGCAGCTCAGGTAGTCAGGGTGGGAGGCTGTCAAATTGCCCCATCCCCATTGGGATTGGGCAGTACCTGACTGCTCTCCCACCCTACACAAAATCTTCCAGAAGCAGCAGAGAACAGAAGAGTGGAGCTCAGATTTTCTTCCCTGTGTGATACAGGGAGGAAAATTTAGTTGGAATAGATCGGTCTGGAGAGTAAAAGGAATTAAAGCATTGTGCAGTGACAGCAATGCAAGCAACAAGTGAGACACACTGCAGAGTGTCAGGAACCCTCTACCCAAGTATGCTTTCCACAACCACCATCAAAAATGCTTTTGCACCTCTATCAGTTCTACAGAAAGTAGAGCAAATATTCTATAAAAGGGAATGTCTCCTACTATGAATATCCCCCACTACTTAAGGCCTGCAGAGGAGTTTTAGGAGGAAAATTGCCATTCAGTGTCCTTCAAGCATGGAGAGGCAACACTAGGGTTTCTATTGCTGAGGGCTGAGGGTAAGTGAGTTAAAGTGCCTGGGGCTCTTTCCGAGTCTGATGTGCATTGTCTTGCCCTGACACTCTTCACTGCTAAGGATGATGAAAATCTGGAGGCGACAGGATAAATCACTACATCTCAGGGGACAGCAGAAGTAGCTCTCTGCTCTTGCAGCCCATCAAGCGCCTCGCCACAGGTAGCCTGCTCAAGGACTGCAGACAAGGCCAGTTTAATCATTGCGCTGCTCACAAACACCTTTCTGAAATAGCAACTCTTCTCCAGTCTGGACTTGTTCAACCTCCTCACTAAGATACAATTGATTAGACAGCTGAAAATCCAGCTATGAGTATTCTTCATTATTTCAGACAGCTGAGGATGCACTTCATTACACAAAAATTGCTTCTCATTTTGAAACTGAAGTGATGGGAACAAAGACACTTTGTTAAAGAAAAAAACCCATAAAAATCGAAGTGGCTTATAGCAACGTCCTGCAGATTGGGAGAATTGGCTGCTCACAGTTACTGCCTTCTTCATGATGCAAGCACTGAATCAATCTCCCACTCTGCCTTTAAAATTCAAAACTAGCATATATAAAGCTCAGGCAGCTCCTCCCTGGTTCACTCCAAGGCCCTTGATCTCAGTGCCTCAATTGTGAAGGCGACATGTTAATGCTGCTCTTACATGATGATTTTATCACCTGTCCTAAAAGACTCCATTTTGCAACAATTCAACTGAGAAAAAGAAATTTCATCCTCTTAAATTTAGATTTTTTTTTCTCCTTTATAAATCAAAAAGGCAAGCAGAAATGATTACTCCAAACCCGAGCTCAGAGCAAGCAGTCTTTAGCAAATTACACCTCATGCTAATTTTATGCCTAGCAGGTATGACAGCACACTGCATCTCAGCAGTTTTGTTTAAAGCTGTCAGCATCAAGGCCAGAGACAAAGGCTTTCCCTCTCAGAACAAGAAACACCTACTGCAAGATGCAGGTTTGCATCAATTCTCCAGACACTGCAACCCAAGAAGTCCACTCAAAATATACAGGCAACTATTGAACAGTGAAAACACTGATGTTCTAACCAGTCCTGGGGAAAAAAAATACATCAGTATAAATAAGCCACAGACCAAAAGTTTACTCCAACACATTGACGAAGAGAAGTTCTGGATCACCTCCAAATAATGAGGCTATAACCCAGACTTCACACTGCCTCCAACTGTGTCATTCCGCAGAGCAGCTGGGCATGCATGAGTAACATTTAAACAGTTTCTATGGTTTCTCAAAATTGGGGAAGAGTTAATCTTCCATTGTTAAAAGCATCACTACATTCATAACACACATTCATTCAGCACATCCACACAGCTGAACAATTATATAAAAGACTGCTTTTGAAGGCCAGCTATCTGGACATGCTTCCAATTCCCCACCATAAGAGACACAGAAATCGTGCCAGCCCATACCGATGAGGAAGCCTTCTGGGGGGCAAAATGGGAGGTTGTGTCGTTAAAAAGCAAGCCTAAATCAACCACATCTTTCCAGAGAGACACTTGAACAGATGACATAATGAGGAAAAAGTTTACAGGTGCTGATCTAACGCCATGAGGACAACACTAACTGCCCAATAATCCCACATCCTCAGCTCTGTTTAAAGGACTGCAAATCCCTAATCAGTGTGGTTTGATATACTTGATGGCAACTCCTTTTGGATCATGGATTTTTAATTGTTGGGTTTTTTTTTTTAGTATGCTCTGTATTTTGCAAGCCTACTATAAATAGAGCTGCTCTCTTCCTTCACCAGGTTACAGACATATTTTTCCATCCTTGAGTGGGCTACATGCAAGCAAATCTACCTGGACAGATGACTCATTAGGACAAGGAGATGAGTTACACAGGCAATGGCGACACTTTCTGCTATGAGTCAGGAAGGAGAAAATGCTTTACCGTATGATCTGTCAGAGGAGGCAGCACAATCAGCTTCTCCATGGTATTCATTACTACCCTCCAGAGCTCTTTCAGCACCCTCTTCAACACTGTCTTTTCACACACGGTTGCAAACAGTGTCAGGCTGCAGGGAGAGAGAAAGAACCGAGTAAGTTCAAGGAATGCAATTTACAGGGAACAGGAGATGTGTATAGGAGAATCAGTGTCCCATCCAAAGCAGTTCATCATAATGACTGCTTTAAGGGTAAAAATCTTCCCTTTTCATAAAGTGCAGCCTGTTTTCACCATTTGGGTTCTAACACTGAAGATGTCTGGCTAATAGGAATTAATGGCATTTATGATCTCAACCATTTCTATTTATTGGCCTGGGATTGCAGAAGGCATCACGAAGTTACGGTGGTTGGGAATATGCCACATGAGAGCACGTACCATTGAACTAGTTCCCTTTAACAAGATACTTGCTGATGTATTGGGTTTACAGCATATATAGGGAAAAATTACAAACAAATATAGCATAATAAGGTTTAAATTGAAGGGCTTATTAGGATTTTTGTTGAATACTTATTAGTTGTTAATAAGTATTTGTTGAATACTTAAATTAATATTTCCCAGACTGCTAAGACAAAGTTCTTGCACAGCTTCTGACAGCTGCTGAAATCTCTAAATCTCCCACATCTATAACCACCTTGAAGTATTTCTTGGACTTCTCTGTATTTTGTGCCAATTATATCCACCACCAATCGCCTGCCATATGTTTATCCATGCCTTTTTACATAAAGAAGTTCTGCTTTATCTCTTTAGTTATTCCTCCTTTGTTATTGTACAGACTATCAAAAAGGCCAAGAAATGCTAGAGTCTTCTTTGAAATTATTGTTAGATTTTGGCATTTACTGGGAATCACACTGGGAATGCTACGATATAGGAACTCTGCAGTCAGCAGCAGTGCACAGGCAATAGTAGACTCTTCTGCATTGTGTAACATCTTCTCCCAGGCTTCCCTTCTTCCCATATCTGGTTAGACAGCAAATTAACAAAGCTGAACAGAGACAAGACTGATGTGGGTAGGATGCAGAAAACATCTAAAAAGCCTCTCCTGCATAGGAGAAAAGAAAATAATCCAAGCTCAGATCATCATAATCAATATTACTTCCTCCACATCTGGATGAAAGGTCTGTAGCATATCGAGTTCCCAGTGATACAAAGGAAGGAGGTTTCTGAGGATTTGTGAAGGCATGCATGGAAAACACCCAAATGAAAAGCTCCTAGATGTAATGATTCCTGCAGACACTTACAATATAATGACCCAAAAGAAAGACAGGACAATCAATACAAAGAGCAATGAAAAAACCTTATTTTAAACTCATGAAGCTTCGCATCTATAGCACCATTTATTATGAAAATTGCTGGCCACCATTTTCAAAATAAAGAATTGCTGTGCATCAGCAAGAAGTTTAACTTCTACAGCGATTAAAAACTATTTTTCTTTGTAGTTCAAGGCTTAGCTGATGAGAATTATGTGCAGTTAGCCAAAAAAAGCCCCTGTACAGCTGAATCACACTGCGTGGTGCTAATAGCAACAGTTAATTAAAGCAATGGATCAAGCTTATATACATCACATAGTTCAGAAGCTCATTTTCTAGTCAGAATAGCATCAGGTATGACTAGAACAAACACGCTTACATGACTGGGATACCGAGTAGTGTAACTATCTCATGTGTAAGTATGGTTTGCAATAAGTTTGCTAATAGGATACTGTGCAATTTGTATAGGAAAACAATATATAGCTAGTAAATTCAGAATTTCAGTCTTTCCCACTACCTGATCAGCCGTGTGTTTTGCTGATTGCTATAATTGCCAGAGGGAGAAAGGAGAACAGAGTGTGCTCTGACACTCAATGAAGGCTGAAGAGGTAATCCATGGCATAAAAGAGAGGCAGATATGGGAAGAAAAGTCATTAATTCTTACCGAAAATTTGGAGGCTGGACATCTCAAGAACAATTCAAGAATGTGAAACTATTTTTCCTTCCCCCCTTCCTGTTCCCAATCTGATGCACTGTATGTGTAACATGTATTTGAACACTCCCTTACTTTCCATCCAGGAAATCCATCAAGGGCCTCAGGACATTATCTGCATCTTGTGCAACTGTGTTTCTGGCATTAGCAGCAACATTTCCTGTCCCTTTCACTTGACAGAGGATATCAGACATTTGCTTGACACACTCATCAATACGAGTCTGAAAGCTGAATAGATAGGAGAGATGCAAAAACAAGATTATCAGTGGAACAGATCTCAGCTCTAGTACATAAGGTAAAATACTGCAAGTCCATAAACCACGCACTCATTTACACACTCTTCCTTCCTGAGATTTGCTGCTCATTTCCTTACTATATTTGTTACCAAGGGGCACGGTCTCCAGTTCCTATGCCCATCATCCACAAACAGCCTACCACCTCTAACATGAGACACACTCACATTTGAGAGGAGTTTATTCATTCACCTGCAAAAAGAAATGTTCCTTTCCTGTTTTCTAGAAACACTGCTTTTCTTTGCTCAAAGCACTGTGCTGTATCTTTGCTTTCTACATAGCTTGTTACCACAAAGACTGGGGTACCATATGGAACAAGGGCACAAGGCATGCACGACTCTGTGCACCCAGGAATCCATCGGCAGCGATCTGGTATGACCCATCGTAAGATAAGTCTTTAAAATAATAGAGACAGCCTGAAGACAGGCACCAACAGAAACCAGTCCACTGCCATACAATCTATGCTCTATCAAAGTGTCAAAATGGGATATGGAGCTCAGCTGTGCAATGAGCAGCGTCACTGTAATGAAGTGACATGCAAGGCATCAAAGCACAGTTATTTTCCTATCTTGTACTGCTAAAAGGATATTCAAAATGAAATAATATATGGTTAATAATGATGACTAGATCAGCACAGCTGTCAACATATCAGCTCAGTGAATAAAGGAAAATGCTTTGACATTTAGAAGAACAGTTACTAACAACAGGGATTGTAAGTGACATTTAGCTATCCACTAACAGCACAGGGGCTTGAAATCAGGAAAAGAAGTCAGTGTTAGCAGCTAGGGTAAAGATTTAAGGGCAGGTACACAGGTTTGGAAGTCAGCTTTAGACTGGAATAAGTGGCTGTGTGAGCCACCTTGGACATCCTTGGGCTGGGTACTAGCATAAACCCCTCTGTCCTGAAGCTCTCACCTCCCTTCTCCACTCAGTCAGTCACTTCTCTCCCCTCCTGTACTGCCACCTCCACCCTCATGGTCCCTCTTGCTCATTTCTAGACTGCCTTTCACAAGAGCAATTCCAGACAGCAATTCCAGAGTTGTCTCCACACACTGCTTCCACTTTCTGCACTTCTAGAGGAGAGTGGCTTGCAGCAGCCAGTTGTGGCTACAATGACAGCTTAACCAGAGGTGTAAGTCACATAAAATAAAACAGTACCAGATGCCAACAGTATTTCCTGTACTGCTGACAGTGCCTGTTCTGTTATAGGTTAATATCACCCCACAGTTCTCCCACATATTGCATTAGTTGTAGGGGCCTCCTTCAAGATGCTGTAAACCCCCAGTCAGGGGAAGGAAAGTAACAGAATTCCGTAAAAGATAAAAGTTAACATGAGGCAAAATAGTGAAAAATGCTAAACCCATTACTGTGGCGACAGGTTCACTTGAAAGTGAAACTCGTGCAGATGTAGAGTTCAACAGGAGCCCTTGGCAGCAGCAAGTTAAAAGACAACCTCACCTGTGCTGTCAAGACAGAGCCTTCTGCTGCCTGTTCCCACAGGAATTCCCTCCTTCCCTCCTACAGCCGCCAAGAACAAAACAGCAGCTACTGCATGTAGTATAAACCACCTTGAGGCTACTTTTCTCCATGATATTCTTCAAAGCAGGAAAAGCTCCTGTGTCCAGACATAACCCTCTCTCAGCACAAGGGTGGTGAGGCTCTGGAGATACATGCTGCTTTTCCAGCAGGTGCAATTATCTCACACAGATGAAGAAAAGTTAAGATCTGCAGCTTCAGGTGCACACAGTGTGGCAGAACAACTGCTTACAGACTCTGCACAGAATATTGTGGATATGTGTCTTACATCCCCACATTTACATCCTTCAGAAGATCCCACTTATACAGTAAACCACAGCTCTGCTTTTCATTCCCTATTACTACAAAGGAATAAGCAAAGCATCTGAGCCGTCTGACTGGCTAAATCTCTTGCCAGCACATCTCTCTTAAACACTCGCTGGTATGTATGCTGATACTGAATAATCTCTTTAAATCATATTTGCAAATGTCAAGATTGTACCCTAATTGTCTTTTAACAGTGCACCATGGAGACAGGTTTCAGATAACAAAAACCATCCCTTAATTACGATTTCTCTCTCGTCCTCCATCTAATTATGAACCTTATCAATTCAATTCAGCTACAGTTTGAATCTCTCAATTTCTTGCTATAGCATCCATGGTAATGGGAACTTCTCTCTTATCTCCCTACTTAGCCCTGTGTGCTAAAATACAAATAGTCGCTGACAAATCCCACAGTGCGGTTTTTGGTCATAAGTACTGCAAATCTGTAGGCTGCAGGAGGCCAAGTTGGTACAATTTGCTTTATTCCTCTTGCCCACATTTCAGCTACACTACGGTTCATGCCTGCATTAATCTCGTTATAAACCACCACTTGAAATGAATGGGGTTTATCTTGAAAAGTGGTTGCCTTTGAAGATCATTTGGGAGCCCTGTATTACTAGATCTTGCTTAATTGATGTCTTTCATGGTTCACTACAAAATTATTATGAAGTCAAGTATATTTTTATCCCCAGGTAAACAGTAACATGATTTGCAATAAAACTTAATTGCCATTAATTACTCTGGCAATACTTTAAAGAGCTCCTCCCTTTGAAACATCACAAAACACCATTCACACAGAACAGGTCAATTTCAAATTCTAAACCTGTTTCATTTCTATTCCAATATTCATTTAACAATCATAGAATCATAGAACAGTTAGGGTTGGAAAGGACCTCAGAAATCAGTCAACTGTTTCATACACTTAGAGCACAACGTTTAAACAGGAATGTTGCTCCATAAATGCTGAGCTGGAAACTGCTTTCTGAGCAATAAAGAAGCAGGCACTTCTGTTACTGACAAGCACTACTTACAGAAAAAAATCCACTCTATGTAATTCAAATACATTTCACAGTTGAGAGATCTCCATGTCACATTTCTGGGGAAAGCACTACAGAAAGGAGAGACTCTATAAAACATTTCTCACTTCTTTAGATGGTCTTAGTATTTGAAAGACCATGAATTTATGACAAAAAGAAAAATATAATGCAGTTGACAGGAGTGTCTTTTCTCTTCTTAATCAGACTGAATGAGATTAGGCAAAAGAAAGGAATGCTTCAAGGACAGGGACCTCATTATACTCACCTGTTACCAAACACAGCACTCAGCTCATCCAAAACATTGTTCAGCTTCACCTGGAGCTCTTTGAGATGGTCACTTGCTTCTGCATCCAACTGTGGATAAAGAGGAGAACTTAGCTTGAACTCAGAGGACAGTCTGCTGCCCTTCACAGTGCTCTTCACTGTGCAGGGCACTTCAATATGCAGGTGAACTACCACCACTGGACTCTGCTAGCTAGGATGCTCTCCTCCACTGCCTGCTGCTGTTACAGAAGCTATGAAATCAGCAACAGCCAGTCTCCAATATCCTTTGATACCTTTACTGGTATTTGTAAAGTTGAGAAAGAAAGTGAACATGAACAGAGAAAGCAGGCTGAGGAACCAAGCACTGTGCATTATCTTGGGCTCATGGGTCACTTCACTCCTGTAAGTATAGGAGAGAGGGATTTTCAGACTGTTATGTTATTTACTTGTGCATTTGTCCATTCACAGCCTTGAAAGGCGCTATTTCACCTTCCACCCTCCTGTCAAGTGTTCAAACTGAAGACTGACCCAGCCACTGCTCTCAGAAGACTGGAGCCCAGCTATTTTGAAAACGTGGCCACAGCATAACAGCAGGAATTGTGCACTGATCACTTTTGGAAAGCATAATCTCAGCCATGGGTATTGAGCACAAGCAGCTCTACTCTCACATGGAGCAAGGCAGCTTTTTGTATGCAGTTGTTCAGGGGAGACTTCACAAAAGAAACAAAAAAGAGTGCCCAAGTACTACATGGGTGCTGCTGACACCTTGGCACATTGTGTAAGAATGTGCTTGCCCAAAGCCACCTGCTTTTACATTCAGCGGTGCCCTGTATTCCAGCTGTACTGATTCCTCCAGCCTCGGAAGAGCCACTTTTGGGTAACTTACCTGTATGTTTACATAAACTACATATTTAATGCTTTAGGAACATTTGCTCTGGAAAAGTAACTTGTAAAACAGATTTGCCTTTGTATGCAAGCAGGCAAGCTGCTTGTAAAACAAAGACCTTCCAGAAATGTTTGCATTTGGCATTCAGAGCTTCAGCCCTTACCTCTAAGGCAGAGCATCTATTTACAAACGTAATGAGCCAGATGCCAGTACAGTGGTTAAAAATCAGTTTAGATTTTTATGGTATATCCACATATACAGGATGTGAACATGACAGGAGTTCCCAATTCTATATTCAGTATTCTATATTCAGTATATTCAGAAGCCCTCTTCGTATTCGTCAGCATCTGTCAGAGAAAGACAACCCTTAAGGGATTTGGAATCTGATCTGTTCATTTTCCTGTTGTAAGCTGGCATGGAAAACTGACTCCATTAGGCATTTGAACCTGTGCTAATGAAATTCCTGGACCAGAATTTTAAAAATAATTAAAAAAATCTCCAAGCAAATGATTTATTTCAGCCTCATAACTTTCGGCATTGCTAGCTCTGATTATTTTTGCTTTATTAAAGTGAATCTGCATTCCTGTTACTTTTCTAACTCCCTTGCTGTAAGAAGGCAGAAGGAGGCCAAACGTGCCAATCACCAGTCATTCTAGCCAAGCTTTTAGGTAACAAAACAAAAACACCATCTGTTGGTGGTGGCTTGTCTTGCCCCTACATTAATCCTTCCCTTCTACTGTGTAAAGGGAGAACGAGTCACAAGCTGTCTGGTTTGCTATCTAAAATTAATGGCACTGAACAGTCCTCTGATTTTGGCCCTTTTTGGGTGATTTGAGGCAGCACCAGCTCATGATTCATCAAAATGTTTTGAGTAACTTCTTTTCCAGCTGGGGAAAAAAAAAAAGCCAGGAGAATTTGGCGTATGACACCTAATCCTCACTATTTACTTCTACATCTTTATAAGCTATCAGATGCATGGTCTAGAGGATATTTAAGGTCAGGATCAACAACTTGCCATTGCTCGTGAACCATGCAATTAATGACTAGCTTTACTCTGAGGCGACATGGAGAGCTCACCAACTACCTCTAAGCTTCTCCTTCCTATTGTACTTGTTGACTGCAAACTGCCTAGGGAGCAAAACGAGGGCTTATTTATAGCCCTCATTTACGAAGAAACTGGAGCAATGCTTTGCTAAGGGGATGAGCTCCGTTATCTGTGGGGTGAGGAACCCTCTGCTCCAGAACACTTACTTACAGCTCTCTGGGTGCAAGTGGCAAGACTGGCAACCCAGATTTAACTTTGAGGTGCCCAGCCTCACCCTCAGGAAGCCAAACCCTGGTGGCAGGAATTCTGATTAAGTATCCACCAAATCATCTGTCATCCTAGAAAGGCTGTTGTCTTCTGAGCAACTGCTACAATGAAAGGAGGAGTCCACATAATACATTACTGATCATTAAAGCTTTGGCATTAGCAAAGTAAATTTCAGGGAATTACCTGAGTGTGATTTAAGTCCATTAGGAAGGTGCTGGTAAGTGTGTACTACTGTTTCACATATATCAATTACATGCCAGTTACAGAGTTCCCTGCAGCATGTGATGTAACTGCAAACAATTTTTTGCCAATACAGTGAAGCACTGATAACACTGCTCAAATGACACAGCGTATGTTTTGCTGTTGCTGCTCAGCCAATGGATTCTATGCATATCAGCTACTGCTGATAGCAGAACATGCTACTTGGAATGCACAATGAATCTGGTTGGTAAAGCAGGAAGCAGTGTTAGGCAATTGGGTCACTGCCATATGTCATGTCCAAACCATTTCTATCAGAAGCTGGAGCTCAAGCAGGCTTATGATCTCCATTTTGTGGGTGTATCAGAGATGATTCAGAGGAAGAAAGCTAATGAAAAGTTCTCTGTGCAAAACATGGGACAGTACCCACAGCAAGGTGGCTTTTGATCTCTGAGCAAGTGCTTAAATTCCAGGGGAAACAATGGCTGGTGCAGCTGCAGCTCTGTGGTTGAGACTAACTGTGTGATACAGAAAATGGAGGTGCAGGTAAAGAGGGAAGAGGTAACCCTGTATTTACATCTCAGGAAAGAAAGCAAGGCCCTCTTAATTTTCTGAAAAGAGCTGGGACTTGGCACTGCAGAGAATCTGAACCTTCAAGTCTCATATAAGCACATTCAGGGCTGGAACCTCAAGCTCCTTGCTAATCTGATGGTGCACAGCACTATGAACTTCAATTTAGGTTGATCTTCCACTACAGTCATGGATGAAATGGAACCCATGAGTCTTAGAATTTGCTGTGATGGGCTTCCAAGCTTCCCAAGAGATGTCATTAGTTCTTTGGTTTCTACATACACTGGTGTGTAACCAGAACTGGAATGCTCATCTGTAGCTGTAGAAACAGCTTTTGCCTTCTAGAAGGTTGAAGATGTTAATCTTAAAGCCAGAGAACCCGTGAAATCATCAGGTCTGATGTGACACATCAGCAGTTAGAGAATTTTGCCCTGCTCTCCTATTTTAGCTTTATGCAAGTTACAGAGTTCATGTGCCTCAGGCCTGAAGTTGCTGATTCTTGTCCTGCCCCCTTCCACTAGCCCCTGGGAGCTCCTCTCTGCAACTGTGAGGCAGGACTTCAACTGATCCAGTCTCCCTTTAGGGACTCACTTGCACTGAATTTTCATCCCCACTTTCCTATAGGATTCAAGAGTAATATGAAATACTGAATCCAAACAACAGCTGACAGCTTCTCAAATACTATGGTGGCCTTAGCCATGGTATGCGGGATGCTAAAGAGGAGTCATCAAATAGATACAGCAAATCCTTTGAGAACATTCCTGTCAAGTCTTGGCAGTTCCTAAGCAGTCCTGAAATTTGTTATTCAGGTGGCTAACTTAGGATTTAGAACATGGGCTAACCCGGCTGAGCATTAAGAGGACAGTCTCCTGAAGCATTAATTGTACAGATTAGCTTGAAACCAAAGGCATGAAAATTGTATGATGACAATCTGCTGCTAATTCCTTGGGTTCCTTAGGCAGTGCTTGTCTCTGATACTCACCTCTCATGCTTTGGGAAAAAAAAGGAAGTGCAGAAATGTATTAAACTAGGCTCCCGTAACACATTCAAACTCCAGCAGTGGGCAATGCAGTACAGCACCTTTTAACTTCAGTGTCATGAGTTCATCATTTAGGAAAAGCAAAACAAAATAATGGATTGCAGAAAGCCATTTCTCTCAAGCAAAATGAGAAAATGCTTATGCTGGTGTCAGGGACAGTGTGCAAAGCACAGTGAAGTCTGCAGGAGAACTGCAGAGGTAGGTAGAAAATGCAGGTCACATTAGGTTTTATTAGATAATGTATGAATAATTAAATAAATGGGGCCAAGTTCAGGCAAACACTAGCAATGAAATCTACATAGCCCCCATCAGCACAGAGCTAAATTACAGTCTCCATTCTGTGGGTGCATTGGAGATTATTCAGAAGAAGAAAAGATTTCAAAAGGTATCAAGGACTCATACTGCAATTCCACTGCTCATTATGCTTTTAACGCTACCTGCCACTTCATAACCACTGGCTTTTCAAAACATGTTTCAGGAATGTCTGAGAATGCTACTGAAGTACAGTAAAGCTGTTTTGATCCCGTGAGATCAACACAGCTCAGAAGGGAAACAAGTATAAATCTTAAAAATCATTTAAGATACCTCTTTCTGAGCGTGCACGTGCGATATATATATACGCCTTGAGATCTCAAGCACAGACCCAAGAGAATCCCACCAGAGAGCTCTCTAAAGCTCTGCTGCTGTCATTTCTGACTAGTAATGTTCACAGGCATATGATGTCAACACATTAAACACAGACGTGCTGGGTAATTTTTGCACTGTCTGTGCCTTCTAAGTACTACAGTTGGGAAACTCAGTGAGGGCAAAGGTACCATTCCTCACCTGGGGAGGAAGGAAAAAGTAAAGGAAGGCACTATACCCAGGAGCCCAATCTCAAGAAACAGTACTTGTCAAGCACTTCTGTTCCACGTTATGCTATTACACTGCAGGATGACTATGGGTAAGCCCTGTCTTTTCATTTTCCTTGATGCAAAAGGGAATAAGTGATAATGGATTTCTGTAGGAGTGTGTTTTGGACCCACTGTCCAAGAGCACTAGGTAGCAGAAGTGTTTCAAAGCTTTCCAGAGCTGTGCAGTGCTATAGCTACAGCTTTAGATGGAGATGGATCTGTGAATCAGAAGCAGATGAAGCCACAAACACACATTAACTCAAACCAATCCCCAAGGTCTGGCTTCACACATGGTACATCTAACGTTCTGCCACAGGAACAACGGAATATTTGGTATCTAGTTCTCAACAACATCTTTGGGAACACAAAAAGGTGAACAGCTCAAGACAAGCAGGACATACCACTGTGCTATTTTCTTACTTCCCCAAGGAAGCAGTTCCTTTTTGAGCAGAGCAGTCAGGATATCGCTTGTGCAAGGTACCGTGTGGTAAAACCCACAGATATATTTCCAGCAGCATGTTTGCCTACATGTTCTATTTTCAAAGTCGTTTCACCAATTGTTACTCAGTTTCAATCTGCATCAGAAAAAGGGCTACTCAAACTAGGACAAGACCTCATTTACTCTAGCAAAACACAGAACCTGGCAGGTTTCAAGTCAAGAAGCAAAGTACTACATAGTCACTGAGAGGGAAACCCCTGGGGATAGCAAATAACATAGGTGCCTAACACAGCACAATTTATTTCTAGTGATCAGCGGCAGCCTAATGAAGTAGACAATCAGCATTTGGAAAGAAAAGAAGAAAAATCACTTCCAAAACCCAGCTTCCTAGCATGTTTGCCAGATTTGTTTCTGTGGGTTTTACTATTTGCAGCCTGGGTTTCTCTCCCCCTTTTCTTTTGATTCCACAGTACAGGAGAAATACTGGACTCATTACATCTGCTCTACCTTACTTACACCTCTTGAAAAAGGTTTTGAAGGGCAGAATGCAGACAAGAGGTCTAGGCTAGGAAAAGCAGTCATCAGCCTTGATAAATGCTTTTTTTCTTATCCTACATAACACTGTACCAGGTGGTATTTTCAATTTAAAATACAGGAAAACCCTACTTAATGGCCACCAGTAGGGAAAATAGTAGCAAATTGATTCCTCAGGGGAAATCAAGTGTATATGGATTATAACTTTATAAACCACTTCAAAGACCATTTCATCACAAGCTTATTTTTCCCTGAGAAAAAATGAGCATTTAGCTACCTCTGCTATTACAGCTGGGTGCCTATAATGCTAGTTCTTGATGCAGGGCTCTGAAATTGGGATTGTTGAGAAATTAGGAAGCAATTTCACTCAGAAAATGAATCACATGTGAAAGAATGACAGCGGTTTTTCTTTGCCTCACAGGGTAAATCTATTTGTTGAGATTTTCGCCACCTCATAGAATTCTGCCACTGAGCACAAGAATGATGCAAAACAGCAATACAGGCAAAAACTGTGCTGCCCATCAGCAAAGCTGACTTTTCTCTTGGCATACAGGTCATAGCACAGGCTCTACCACAAGACAAATAAAGGAAATGCACTTAGGCTTTGAAAATTATTTTTTCCTAACATCAGCATCAGCAGCTTTTTCTTCATCTTCCTGAATCTTGAAAAGCAAAGAAAAAAGAAGAGAGAAAATAAATAAATAAATAAATGAATACGCACTGATTATATCAGAAACAGTGACCTGGGGGAAAAAACCCATATTTCTGTAAAAATGGCCATCTCAGGATAAATAGATACATGAGTACAGAATTATTATTTGCATGTCTGCAATATACTAGATATTGGACATTTAGTGCCAAAGGTTCCATATTTATATGCCATGTAAAATGATTCCATGTCAACAGTTCTCTGACCTGTCTGTAGAATCTTGTGAAACCACCATGCCCACATCCAGTTCATGTAATCACAGTATGTAGCCTTCTCTTTCCTACTCCCTGCTGTTCTGTGCTTCAAAACATTTGCTCCTCCATCTTATGACAAATTTAGTTGAAAAGTGTTCAGGCATGGCTGTCCCCTCACATTTATTATAGTGCCAGATGTGACAGGGCCCTCCTTATGAGTACAGTCTTCAAAAACCAGTATGATGCAAGTAACCTAGTAACAGCGCATTGGGAATGAGTAATTCTCAGCCTCTTAGCGCTCTTACCTCTTTACCACCCATGGCTTCAAACATCTTCTCTAGCTGCACCCTCAGTTGTTGGACGTTATTCATCAGGATGCAGGGCTGAAGGGACAAAAGCAAGTGCCTGTTACTGCCTAGGATGCTGACATATTTTCACCAGTGGTACAGTCTGTGCCTCACCACCCTTCCCCAAGTACCACCAGATCTGAGAGTCAAAAAGCAGGTAGGGTATGCACAGATTTCAGCACAAGTCATTTTTTAATCCAGCTTGAAATGGGACAGCCAGTTCCAGAAACCCCAGATGAGGAAATCTCTGCTGTTGCTTCTTCATCCTCAGCTTTATAAAAGGGTGTCAGGATGAAGTTTTAGTCTCTGCAGCTCCTGCCATGCTTTGCCAGAGTCCAAGCTGTGTCACATTCAGCCTCTTAATTCTGCCATACGCTATCGTGAGTGGTTTACACCCAGTATCAGAAGGGGAGCTGCCAGCCAAAGCTGCTTCAGAGACACATATGGGTCCTCCCAGGCCAAGCCTGAGAGCCATAGTCAAGAGCAGCCTAAGCAATAGACTTCCCTCTGCAGCTACATCCCCAGTACAGGTGTGGGAGACAGCAAAACCAGCACAGGACAAACCCAAGGTTCAAAAATGTAAGGCTCTGTTTTATTTAATACACTGAATTTTACTGAATTCAGGACTAAAGAGCAATTAGATGGAGACAACAGTAAACCAAGGGTGCTGCTGACTACCAGATCAACAGAGCCTTTTTTTTTCAATCATCTTTCTGTCACACAACCCAGACAGGCATAGTGGAAGCTGATTTCCAGGGGACCTGACAACTTCCAAGCCCTGCAGATCATCTTCAAGACCTAGTATTATTTTATGGCCAAGACACAATTCAATCTGCAAAGTACATGAATGATGATAAAAACAGTATGAAAATATTCACACCATCAACATGGTCAGATGCAATGTGAGAAACTTGGTTTCATCAGGATAATTATGTGATTCCTCAGGGCAGAAAAGAAGTTCAGCACAACTCACCAGTTTCTCCTTGGAACAGTAGGACTGGAAGGTCTTGGAGAGAATGTCAGCATACTGCATCAGCACTTTCCCAATAGTCTGTGAAGATAAGGTGTGATCACTGTTACTTGTTCTCTATCACTGCAGGAGAACTCCAGAAAATAAAATGAAAAAAAAACCATCATACTGTTTTGCATCCCACTAAGGGAAAATAAACAGATGGATATTGAAGGTATTACCTTAGCAAACCTCCTATTATAATGAGCAACAATGACAGGGTCTGGGCACTCCAGCTTCTTAATGATCTCAAAGCTCTGATTGAGCTGGGTGAAGACATCCACCACTGAGCAGGAGAACAGAGCATGCTCGGATGTTTGCTGGAACTAAAACAGAAGTACAAGGAGTCATTCTCAAAAGGAAAGATCTGAAATACACCCATTTCATGGATGTCTCCATTATCTGCTGTGTTGGAGGCAGGACAACTTTACCAAACCCTACATTTTCCTCAGATTTAGTCAAAAACTCTCAAAAAGGCCCAGAGGAGCTAAACAGCCAATTCTATCTGATTACAAGTTCACTGTCCTTCACTAACTATGACATGACAAGTACCAAGGAAATGCAGCATGATGCTGAGACCTTTAATGTGCACAGCTTGCCTGTCAGTTGATGACGAAAGATGGACAGAGTGAAGAGCTTTTTTTAGATCTTCTTAAAATTTAGAGTGAATGCCTACATTAGCTTCACAGGCTACAGCACCAACAGTCACTGAGCACATGGGAAAGCTCTTGCTCTCCACTGGGAATACTCAGCTAATTAAGAGTAAGATCAGTCTGTCAGTGGATTAAGGTCACTTTCTCACTGCATGACTAAGTATGTGCAAAGTGCCTTATATTTCAATTACCTCTCATAAACAGAGGAGAGATGAGAGAACACCTCCCTGTTAATCTGCTTGACAGATTAACAGCAGTAGAACAGAACAGACATAAAGGAATTATATTCACCTTGCCATTAAACAGCTCTTTTTGACCTGCACAGAAAAGTCCTAAAAGAAATGAGTTTCCCAGTTGTTAAGTAAGCAGAAAGAGCTGCACCCTCCATTTGCATGACAGCTGAATTTACAGTGCTGGTGTTTGGTTCTGGGCACTGAAAGATGTCAGTGTCCTCCACTCAGAGTGACTTACGTACCCCATCTTTTTTATCTCTCTCCAGAGCACCATGCAGGAATTCTAAGGAAACATCTTCATTTTCATCCAGCCACTGCATCACAAACTGCTCAAACCACCTGCAGGAGGGACAGGAAAGACACCACATTACAGCAAGTAACAGGCAATCCAACCACACTCAGACAGAGTTGCTGTTTCAGCCAGACTTGTGAAAGCTTGCCACTGTTAGAAGTGATCTGAATGCTGTGATCTGTGTGTACAGCCAAAGTTCCTGAAAATACTCCTACTCATATACAAGCTACCGATGAGCAGGGCCTATACCATCACTGGGCTGGACCAGCAGAACACAGCCTAGCCCAGCTTCTGCAGACTGTTGGTCCTGAGCTGGTTTTGTCCTTTTGTCCAGACAGGACAAGGGAGACTTCCAAACCCACTCTTTGCATGCCAAGAGAGATAGCTGTCCTGATGCCCATTTGGTGTACTACCTTTCATGTGAGAGTTGCAAATGAGCATAAAGGGAGGAAAAGCACTGCCTGTTTTCGAGGGCCCTTCAGCTACTTTATCTGCAGATACAGACATATTTCTGGAGTGCCAGGGGGAAGAATCAAGGCTAGAAGATTTCTCCACTTTAATCCTGCTCTTCTTTTCCCCAAGCTTTCTATAGAACATCCTCTCATCTCCATGGGCTGCTAGTTCTGACTGAGGCGATGCTTGATTAAGATTGTCTTGGGGTCACAGCACAGCACATCTGCTGGGGCTTCCAGGAAGATGGCCAGTCCTGTAAGCATCTCTTCATTGTTTTCTCTTGAAGGAGCACAAAGTTAGTTCATATTAAGTGATGAACCAACAGCCTGGAAGCACAGTCAAGTCCCAAGAACAGGCAGGTCCTACAAGCAGGACAGCAAAGAATGTCTCTATTCCTCCTCCTCACTTAGGAGGATAACCTAAATTGTAGAGCAGAATCCAAGAAACTGCTGAAACAGCCACTGCTATAACTCAGGAAGATGCCTTACATGAAGCGGTGTTTGAAGCTACCTCCTACACTGAACAAAAGGCATCTATGCAACACCACTTTGGCCAAACAGGCAAGGTGAAAAGGGGCTTCAGCGATCTCCAGGGGTCTTACAGCCAATCATCCCCCTTTGGGATATATTCCCATAGGACAAAAGAAGGGAGGAGTTGTCTGTGTTTAACCAACAACATAGCACCTACAGCTATATTTAAATGTCTTGTTTGGCATTTGTTGTACACAAGTTCCAACATAACCACAGCTGAAACAAAGCTTAATTTCAAATGTTACTAAACACCATTCAGAAATAAGGGGGAGGTGTGCCCATGTGTAATTTCAGTCCATACAAAAGATTATAACATGAGATTCAGAGTACAGCCCCCTCTAAACAGGCAGCTGTGTTCATATAAAGATTGTGCTAATTATGGGCTGAGTTTGCAAAGAACATGAAAGCCAGACATGAGAGAAGATCAAGAGCAAGTTCACAGAGAATACTAGGTAGCCTTAAATACTCTCTACACTTCGAAACATAAAGAACATCAATGCTAATAATGGAAATTGTAACTGACACAGTGTTAAATGCCAACAGCAACCTATCTATGCAACCCTATTTAATACAGACAGCAACAGTGGAATATTGTCACACATGGACTTCCTGTATTATGGAAAAATTTCTTTGAATGGCACTTCAGGCTCCTAAAAGTCAGCATATTTTGAACTCTGCTACAAGCTTCTTGAGCTTACAGCATTTTGCTTTGAACTACAATAGCATATTTTAAAACAACAGCTCAATCCTGAGAGAACTCAAGCAGTTTACAAGGAAGTAGCTACACATTATCCAGCTGTTTCATAATTCCCTGGCTGGAAGTTGCTGACTGCTTCAGTGTCATAGGTCCATGCACAGAAGGGTTTACTTGTTTGTGCCAGAAGGCCCAGTTTTCATTCTGAGAAGCAGAGAAACTTCCTGATTATCATTCATAAGAAAGGGCCATTCACTGCTGAGAACAGCCACTGCCCATTTTTATGGCTACCGTATGTACACAAAATCGAATACGTAGGTATTTTACTGTCTCATCAAATTGCCTAAACAAAGGTGACAAGGAAAAAGGCACTGCTGAGTGGCTGTTGGTGGTGGTGTGTTTGCTCTCCTTCCTATTAAAAAAGCATTACCTGCGGAAAGACGTTTAATATGAATGTTTAAGTGCAAAGTGAATAGCTTATGTCAGGTCAGGAAATTCTGTATCTGCATTTGCAACAACAGCCTCAACTTTGTCCATTTTTGGCTGGCAGGAAAACAGAAGAGATAGGTAGAAATAATGTATAAATATTTCTATCCCTGGGCACATTCAAGACCAAAATGTGTTTGAAGCTGTAACACAAGCTAGAGTTATCTTTAGCCAAATACTCCCTGCAGTGTTTTACTATCAGGTCTCAGGCTGCGGAGCAAATGAGGGGGCTCTCTGAGGACTGTGAAGGTAACAAATCCAAAATTATATTAAAAATTATCTAGCACTGAAACTAATAAAACCAATCTGATTTCATGCAGAAATAGCTTCAAAATGTTGTTATATAGCAAGTATCTTCTTCCTAATCTGCTTCAATTATTGATCTAGAAGCACAAACTATAATGACTCATGCACCAGCACACAAAGCAGAGGCTTACGGTGCTGCTTCAGAGACACTGTGTGCTTGCAGGGGTCAGTACTGCCAACCTCTCCAAACGAGGTTTGCACGGAATATGCCTCAGTCCTGCCTGCCAGGAAAGGGAGCGGTGCTTTGCGACTAAATGGAAGTTTACCTCTCTTGGCTGCACAACAGTAATGTAATATAAACAGCTTCAACCTCATCTTGGCCACCACCCTGGCTCCTGCGGCGTCAGTCTACAGGTGAATTAATCTTGTTCATCTGCAGTGTGGATGCATGTGGGTACCCAATGAACATCCTGTGGGCCTTGGTAAATGCAGAAGCAAGAAGGCCAGCAGGGGTTCAAAGAGTAAAAGAATAAAACCTGGTTTTGATGAAGTGAGCCAGAAGAAGAAGACAGGATTTCAAAGGAGGGGATGCCTTCCCCCATCAGAGAGGAGGTAGTCTCCAGTACAGCAACAACACCAGCTGCATGCTAACATCAGTATTAAAACAAAACACAAAACATTTACTTACGCATCTAAAAAGCTACAGTATTTTGGAAACTCATACTTCTCAGCTTTTAACTGGCAGCTAAAAGTGAAGAGACGAAGTTTTTAAGAGCCACTCCCAGCTTTGCTGCTACTTCAGTTTCACAAACTGCTGCTGGATTTCACAAAATAAGGGGAGTACAAAGCTTTCAACTTCAACACTTTGGAGCCTTCACTTTACTCAACCATATCTCAAAGCTATCAGAAACATGGGTTCTCAAAGTTTCAACACAAAAAGCACGTTTGTGGATAGCCTCTTGTCTGTGGAGCTGACAGACACCTCAGTTTTTCTCTGCACAGCAACAGTTTAGTTTCATCTAAAGAGTTTACTGATGTGCATCAAAAGGAGTGGGACCAGCAGGTCGAAGGAGGTGATCCTGCCCCTCTACTCTGCTCTCGTGAGACCTCACCTGGAGTATTGTGTGCAGTTCTGGTGTCCTCAACATAAAAAGGACATGGAACTGTTGGAAAAAGTCCAGAGGAGGCCACGAGGATGATCAGGGGACTGGAGCACCTCCCGTATGAAGATAGGCTGAGGGAGTTGGGGCTGTTCAGCCTGGAGAAGAGAAGGCTGCATGGAGACCTCATAGCAGCCTTCCAGTATCTGAAGGGGGCCTATAAGGATGCTGGGGAAGGACACTTCATTAGTGACTGTAGTGACAGGACAAGGGGTAATGGGTTAAAACTTAAACAGGGGAAGTTTAGATTGGATATAAGGAGGAAATTATTTCCTGTTAGGATGGTAAGGCACTGGAATGGGTTGCCCAGGGAGGTTGTGAATGCTCCATCCTTGGCAGTGTTCAAAGCCAGGTTGGACAAAGCCTTGGGTGACCTGGTTTAGTGTGAGGTGTCCCTGCCCATGGCAGGGGGGTTGGAACTTGATGATCTTAAGGTCCTTTCCAACCCTAACCATTCTATGATTCTATGCATGGGCTCCTTTGTTTAAAGAAGCTTCAAGACTAAAAGTGCTTGTGAGGAAGCAAATCAAAGGACAAAAGCACACTGCTGTAATTGATACGAGGGGGCTATTTCTTGACAGGTGAAGGTTATGGTTGAAATAAACATCACCCATGTCTGACAATGTGGCTGTTGTACTAAAACACAGGAGTGAAGTAACAAAGCCAGCAGCTACACATGTGCATGAGCACTGAAGCTCTACCAAAAAGGCCAGCAGAGCAGAACAGTCTGCAAAAGGCTGCAGAATGAAACCAAGCATCATTATCCTGATTACACAGGAGGAAAAGAGAGATTAAGAGTATCTGATAGCTTGCCTGAGACGGCACTGACTCAGAGGCACAGCAAAGAGAACAGGGCTTCTGAGACTGTCACTCCAGCACCCTATTCGCTGAGCTAATGCCTCTTGCTGACCTGATTTGTTAAGCAAGGCCCATAGCCCAATTGCACCAACTGCCTCAAGTCTTGTTAGTATGCAGCTAGCACCAGACTTGAGGGACTGCATGCACCACAGGATGGAGAGAGAATTCAAAATGCCAATACAGAAACACAGTCCAAGCAACACGATTGTTTTTTCAAGAGGGGCATGTGCAAAGTACTGCATTTAGACCTCAGTGAACAGCCATATACCAGACAGGAAGAACAGATAGGTAGGACTGTTGAGGGTGCCTAGGGGATGGTCTGTGGCCCACTGGAAGCAGCCCTAGCCAGCAATACCCCTGAAGAAAAATAAAAAGGGCTGCTACCAATCCAAAGTGTGAGAACAGCAGCGCTGCCTTCAAGGCAAAGTCTAGGCAAAACATCACTACTTAAGTTGGGTGGTTTATATCCAGACACAGACAGGATGCAAACAGGCAAGCAAATTTCACTTACAAGGAAAGCTGGTAGCAAATGGGAACCAGCAGAAGACTGGGAAGGGACATGAGAAAAGAATTTTACTCTTGTAAAAGAGAAACAAGTTGTTCTTCATGCCCACACTGGCAGGACAGGATAACAACCTCAAACTAAAGCAGGAAAGATTTGGAGGGGGAAGAAGGGGATTGTGTTAAACCTCCAAAACCCAAGGGAAGGTTAACAGTGAAGCACAGGGGGAAAGAATGATTCAAGGAGATGTGGAGCAACCATCACTGAAAGCCTCTGAAAACCAATTAAACACTGGTCAGAAACAACACACCAGCTCTTGCCTTAAGCAAAGCGTGGGATTCTAGCTACAATATTCCCTCCAGGTTGCTCAGACAACATTGGGCTCATAAACCTTTTTCAGGTCTGAAATCTACTGCTGCTCTCTTAAAGTTAAATGAAAGTCGCAAACAATTGCTTAGAGCTTAAGAGCAACAGCTTACCTGATTTTTACAATTAACCTTCCTGGTCTTAATTAAAATAAAAAAGAAAAACAAAAAATCCTCAGCATTATCTTTACTTACAAATCCCACTGTGTGTGTATACATATGACATTCATACACACACAGAGACATACATACAGAACATACAGATAAAGCTGTATCTATTAACAAAAGAATGTAAGCTTACATCCGGAAGTTCTGCTGTTCAAGAATTGACCAAAGCCCACCGAGTAGACACAAAGTAGTTTAAAGACTGTCCATGACATTGCTAAAGCTTTTGAGATCTTGGGAGATAGTGTACAGTAAGGGACTGAACTGTGACAGGGACAGTGGCACAAACACCAGAGGGGACAAACATGCACACAAACACAGGAGTAAAGAAATGGTGTATCATGAAGGCAGCCGTAGGAGAAAACCAAATGGCTACTCTCAAAGTAACAGAAGGAGACAGATCTTGGGGATCTACTACAGAAGACATAACACACTCACGCTGGATATTCAGGCACTTTTCCCTTGAAGGCAGGCAGATCACGAACATATTCATTGTACAGCCACTTCACTTTGAAGTGTAGATTCATATAGTCTGCACTTTTACACAGTCTGTGTTTCTCATGCTCTGTAAGGAAAGAAAAAAAGAGTTAGGTCTGAATTTACCCCTATCACTGCATCAGTTACAGGAGTGTCTTACAAAGGATGTCTGTAGTACGCAATGGTTTTGTAGGTGAAGCACCTACAGAGACACAAATTCTTCACAAGACAGGATTGTGGCAGCAGGCAGGGGTTCTTGGTGGTTGACCATTTAGGCTCTGGAGTCTATTTCTGTACCTCTAATTAATACTTCCATTTGTTGAAGATTTTGGTTTTCAAAGGAATAAAAATAGAAAATTCTGACAGCCTTTGCATTTAACATATGACAGTTCAGATTTCACCTTTGCAGGAAATAAATCGAGGAGAGCAAATCTGTTCATTCTTGGATATAAAAGAAGTCATTATCAACATGTTACACTACATCCCTAAAAGACAAGAGTAAAAAGCATCCAGCTCTTTAGAGTTTGCCAGTGCGAGTCACAAGCAAGTTCAAACACACTACACAGGAACCGGAGCCTTCCCCGATCCCCAGTTTGAAGAAATTCATGGGACTTCTCTTCCAGAAGGCAAAAGTTTTCTTACTTGTGTTGCCTTCCTGAGCATGCTCCACTGAAGTGACCCATGGATACCTACCTGCTGCTGAGCCTCTTCTCCGGCCAGGTTTCATTATGGTTTTGTACCCAGGCAATGCTGGGACAACGCTGTTCCTCCCTGTGTAACACACATACATCCACAACATGACCCTTCCCATACTTGTCTGCTGCTAAAGCACTCGCCATATTCAGACCCATGTTTCTGCAGAACTCATGCTTCTAGGCCACTGCTCCCCTTTCTCTCTTCACAAGAAATGTATACTCCATGTCTTTGCTTCCAAGACCTTTCACAGCCTACGTCCACACTACCATCATTCAGCAATTGATTCCCACCTCTGAAGAGGCCACAATCCCTGGTTTTAAGCTACTCAAGTTATTCCGAACACTCTCTACGCTTTCTTCCAAGGCACCCCTCATTTGCTTACACAGGCAGCTCCTTCCAGTGCACTGCCTTCCTTCAAAATCCTCGTTGAAAAGAAAAAAGAATCCCTTTTTCCATGATGCTAAGAGGACTCAGCAGCTTACTTTTGCCTGCACTGTGATCTTGAATTATCAGGTGTCCAATTCTGCCACTCCCTAGTGCTGCCTGTCCATATCCATCTGTTTCTTCTGCCAAACTTCAACAAAAATGAATAAACTTTGTGCCAGGTTTATTTGTTCATAGAATCATAGAATAGTTGGGGTTGGAAAGGACCTTAAGATCATCCAGTTCCAGCCCCCCTGCCATGGGCAGGGACACCTCACACTAAACCATCTCACCCAAGGCTTCGTCCAACCTGGCCCTAAACACTGCCAAGGATGGAGCATTCACAACCTCCCTGGGCAACCCATTCCCGTGCCTCACCACCCTCACAGTAAAGAACTTCTTCCTTATATCCAATCTAAACTTCCCCTGTTTAAGTTTTAACCCGTTACCCCTTGTCCTATCACTACAGTCCCTAATGAAGAGTCCCTCTCCAGAATCCCTATTGGCCTCCTTCAGATACTGGAAGGCTGCTATGTTCAATCTAGTACTGCAGCAAGCTCCTAGTCCACGGCTACAGTGTGAGATATGAGACTAAATACACATTATTTTGGGTTAGACTTCCCCCCCCCCCCCCCCCAAAAAAAAAAAAAAAAATTGACATTAGACTAATCTTTCTGCCTTTTATAGGGTTACTTCATTACTGATGGAGTTTTCCAGCCGCAGCACTACTGGTGTGTAGACAGGATCCAAACATGTTAAAAGATGGAAATCTTTTTCTCATTTTTGAATGAGTTTAATCTAGGACTTCAGTACAAGTATCCAGTAACTGGGTAGATATATGCACACAAGAGCGATACACGCTACAGATATTCATCAGCAGAGGATACATCCTAATGACGCAAATGGCCCCAGCTTTCTACCTGACAAACAAGCTTATCTTACAATATCATAATCTATTTTCATGTAAATACGAATTCTCACAACAATTTCAAGCCATCAAAAAACTTCCACATCTCTCTCAGCTTCAACAACATGTACAAGAAGAAAGGCCAAATAAATTATGAATTATCCAACACAAGAAGCAATGAACTTTACATGGATAACGATTCTGCAACCCTTGCCAACATTCAGTGGAACGCTTCAGTGAGTTGTTTGCGAGCCTCTAACAGTGTAATACAGATTTCCTTCTTCAACATGTAGATCCACACAGATACAATCTCAAAAAGAAACCCAACTTTTGTTTTCAAGAAATTAAAATGCCCATTATCCAAGAGGCACAGTCCTCAGAGGTGATGGTTTGATGGACAAATTACTTTACATGTGCTACTATTTCACATGTACTGTGATCCACCGCTCTTCACAGCGGATTTGCTTGTACTGGAGCCAAGGAAAGTCCATTCCTGTTATATATTAATAAACCTAGTATCTTTCTTGAGTGCTAAGGAAGTATATGGAAATACCCAGTTCTCTGAACTGCTGATCTTCCTCCACAATAACTGAGGAAGAAAATGCAGAGCTCTCTGCAGATCCAAAACTGGAAACAAACACAGCAATAACCATGCCGGCTTAGCTCCCTGTGACAGCAAGGAAATCAATGGACAATTATAACTTCGTTAACTTTGACATACGCTGACACCCAGGTGCTGTTTCCACATGGGGAAAGTACTGCTCCTGCAGAAGGTCTGGCTTGGAGGCAAAAAGAACTCAGATTTCATCAAAATTAAGCAGTGCACTAAGAGCAAGTAATGCAAAGCTTTTCCTGGGGCTTATGACATTCAAAAGGCTATTAAGTTACAGAAAAGGAAGATGCAAAGCAGCCACAGAAGCGTAAGCCCAAGGACTGCTACTGGGACTACCTAGCCATCTAAAGCAGATAAGGAGAGGCTTGGCACCAAGGGGATAAAACTACAGGAATGCAGAAGAAAGAAGGAGAAGTCTTACCACCGTAAAAGAGAACTTTACGTATGCGGAAGAAAGGTGGGGCTTGTGACAGAGAGAAGACAAAAGTGAACTGTAAGAGCTCAAACATGCTGGAGGACAAATAAAGCCAACAAAGCCCCTAGGCCCCTTTACCCCAAACATCTCATTCCATCTGCCTTTCCCCTTCAATAGTCCCTGCACAGTTTGACCACCCGCATTCTTTGTGAAGGGGTATCTTTAAGAGCATTTGAAGGTGACATGGAAACACAGCAGCCAGAGGTGTACTCTGAAAACCCATTTTGGATAAAAGTAAAATGTAGAGCACAGAAGCCATCAGTCTTAGCACATTTCTGTTCTGCTTTATCACCTGCTGGCTTTTAAAGAGCTCAGTGGCAGCAACAGTGGAAGAGGGCACAGATATTTTGCAGCAGCTGCTGTTTTTATCCTGCAAAGACCACAGAGTTCTCTAAGTCCCTCACATTTCCTCAGCAGATTTCATCTGCAAACAGCCTCCTCCAGAGAAGAGCTTCTAGGGTCACGGAGGCCATATTATTAAGGCATTAATAGGGAACCACTCCCTAGCAGCACACTTTCTAGTGTTACGTCTAGTTCTGTTTTTCAGGCAGAGAACAGGACTTCCTTAATCCACCACATCCTTAATCCATGGGATTTTTTTTTCTCAATTGTTAGCCTACTTTCCATGGGTTAATTTCTAGCTAATAATACCAAATTTCTGCAAATAAACTCTAATAGGTACTGAGGCTGCCAAAGCATTAACACTTCAGACAGCTGACATCTGTGTGTACATCTGATTCCCCTCCCCTTACTAGAAATGAGAATGTGGCAGAATGATTTATTTCAATCCAGCTCGCCAGCTCTACTCAGTCTCTCTTCCTACCAGAGATGCTTCCAATTTGCAACTCTCCTAATGCTGATATGTCCAAATTAAGACTAAACGTTGCTGTAAAGGATGATGTTGATTTTCTATTACTATCTTCTACTAAAGAAAGAACAGAAGCCCTCTTTGCTCAGGGTATTTGTGTTTTCTGGTTGCAGAATTTCACAGATGACAGCAAGGAAACTAGTAATCCCAGTTACCAGTGGGCTCAGAAGGAGGCTATCCAGCACTGGTCAGTGTTCCAGAGGTGGAGATAACTGTATGACTTGGAAAAAACATCCTCTACACTAGCGTGACTCCAGGGTAGAATGATCTTGCCAGCCAAGTCTGAGCCACACAACAAGAGTATCCTATCTGTTTTTCTCTTAGGTTGATGGGGAACAAGGGACACTTCTCAATGCCTCATTGCATACTGCCTCGACAGTAAGGAGGGAAGGGCCAGTCTGCTGTTCACAGTGTCCTGAGTTGTTACTGCTTCGGGAGAAAGAGAAAAAAACAAGCAGGGTAAATCCTGGAGTTTTTGCTGTGTCTCAGAAGCTGAGTCTCCTTAGGGGTGATGAAGGCATAAGATAGGTCTGCCATGCACTCGTCTTCCAGCAGTCAAACTCACTGCTGCTGTGACTGCTGCTACCAGCTGCTGAAACAGAAAATAGGTGTTTGACTCTCCATTTCTGCAGCAGCAGTGTGGTCGTCCGAGTCACCTTTGCAGATCTGCTCACCAGTGGCATAAAACTAAGGGACTAACGCTAATATTAGCAACTATTTACACAGTACTAGAACTATGGGTATCAGACGAAAGCCTTTGCCTACTTGCAACTATAAACTCTACCAAGGTGCACAAACTTACCACTTGGTGAGGTGAATGAGCTCATGTTATCTAGAACTTAGGAACAAAACATAAGGGAAAACACCATGAAGAAAGTTAGAAGCAGGAGTTATACTCTGAGTTCATATGCACATATATCAACAAAACAATTAGCTTTTGTTGCAGAGAGCTCCTGATGCATACAGATTTTTGAGCACAACAGAAGCATACCCAGGATTATTACACAAACTAAGAAATGACAGAGCCAAGAGCTGAGGACAGCAGATCTAATCATCATCCTTCACATGACTTAATTTGCCTCCTTTAATCCCTTTTATCCCCTCATTATAAATAAATAAATAAATAAATAAATAAATAAATAAATGCAGAGAGCTAATCTAATCATCTGCATTTAAAACACATGTACTAAGGCCTGTAAACGAATTATTGTATAGCTTGTTCTAAAGGTTATATTCCTAAATTTCTGAGAGCAAAGCAGTGAGGAATCATGCTCACATCAAACAGAATTCTGCACTCTGAGAATTCTTTAATATATATTTGGAAGAGACACACATCAACACAACCTCTACTATTGTTCAATCCTCCTGCAGGACTTGCACAGCTAGAGTACAAATACATATACTACACAGTTTTTCATCTTTCATTCAAAAGGCAAACCCTTCCCTGCCCATCAGCTGCCTCTGTGTCAGCTTTTCTCACCACAAAATACTTTAAACAAGGCTGCTCTCTCAGCAAGTATTTGCTGTGGGCTAGTGAACTCATGGATTCAGTCTTAAGTCTTGTCTTAAGAAGCTAACAAGTGACCAGAAGGATGAGGAAAAGCTAAAATGAACCCAAGTTCACCAGAGCCAAAGGGGACATGGTATGAAATGTGAGCAGAGAAAACCTGGAAGGCAGAGCTAACCAAGGCCTTGGCAATCAAACAGAGCCATTTAAAAGAGGAACAAAATTGTCCCCTTTGACAGTCAAATTCACACAACAGTATGCTGCATTTTGGATGCAACAGAGAAGAGTAATCTTAGGAAAGTCAGCAACTAGATCTGGAAAGATCCAGTTCTCGTGGCTGCTCATAAAAGAGGAAGATACAACACTTTCAACATATAGAAGAGCAAACTGCGTTATAAATTCCTGAGAGTGAGCACACGGGTAAATAAGGACAAAACAGAAAGGGGAGCCAAAATGGTTTGCAGGAGCAAACAGTTCTAGGAAAAGTGAACATGAAATTATCACAGTTGCCTTGTCTCTAACACACAAGCAAGTGGTGATAGTCGCTATAAAACAGACTCTTCAACATAGTAGGTCCTTCTTTCCAGTGTCTGTTCTTACATCAACACGACCTCACAACATAAAGGAACTGTGGGGTACAAGTATATATAAGAAGTGCCTAACACAGAAATGAGAACACTTCACCCAGACCTGCAGCCTGCTGAATTCAAGCCTAGAGCTAGAAAACGGTGTACCCACACAGCACAATCTCTACTCCTGTTGCACTGTCGAAGACTAAGAAGTAGATGGAGTCAAACTTCTTAGCTTACAGAGCAACCCCACAGGCTGTTCCCAAAGAACAAGCTGCAGGAAACTCTCTTACTGACAGCAGTTTTTCCTAGCGGTCTGACATGAGCATTTAATAGGCTGTCACTTCTAGGAGTGACCTGAGATCAAACTGGAGACAAATGGATCAAGCGTAATTTTGTGACTGACCAAAAGCAAAAGCTCCACTTGGTTTTGGAATATGAACGCAGCTAGCATGCCATAGGCAGCACTGGCTGGTTTATCTGCACTTACTTGTCGGCACTTATCTGGTTTATCACAGTATCAGCTTACAGATGATCATGAAGCCTGACCCTGCAAAATACTGGGAAAACAATTGCTACTACAGCTGCACAGCTGGTGGGAGCTGGATGCTCTCTGAACTTTGTAAGATGATTACATTGTGCAAATGAATTTATAGAACTAAAAATAAATTCAGAAACTGTAATCAACCATCAGAAGCGTACTGCAGGCAGCAGAATTCCTTTCCAGGGCTTTGCTGGGCTCTGTATGCCTAACTCATTTTCAGAAACAGGAAAATGTCTCCTTTTCTAGGAGTTGGGTGGGATTATGCAAGATTAAATAAAAATGAAGATACCAGAAGGAGGATTTGTTCTAACAGTATGATTCTTCCAATGGCTTAGACTGTCTGTGCTGTACTATCCAGGGAACTACAGCCATGGCACAACCCACTACTTCTCCAGCCCTTTCTATCATCGTACATTGCACAAATAAGCTGCCAAAGTGAACTGATTTCAAATCAGCTAGGATGGCAAAAACCAGCTTGCAACAAAGTCTGACATACAGGTCTAGAGATCATGCAGATCTCAGCCTCAACCTTCACACATTATGCAGCTGTCCACAAATAAACCACTAGAAATCCCTGCTCTGAACAGTGGTGCTACTAATGTGCATCATTAAGCCTCATTTACACCAAATGAATTAAGAATAAAGATCAGCAACAAGTCAGCTGGAAGCAGGGAGGAATTCTCTTACCTTCCATGGCATATTTCATATCCTGGGCAAAAAGACTCCACATCACCTCTGCACTGATCTTCCCAACAGCAAGCTCCTGAGGAAACCTAAGTGGACATTAGGGAAAGGCTTTGGCATGTATCAGATCAAAAGGCTCTCTCTTCTTTATTCAGCTCTGAGTTAAACTACAAGCTGAAAAGCTCAACATTACAAACGTTTCCTTCACCCTAGATAAATGACCTTGGAGATTATGAACTGGACTCTGTGGCACAGATTAAATAACCTGAAAACAACACTGCTATTGAGACTCGTTCCAATTAAAAAAAGCCAAGCCCTGGATGTCTCTCCTAGAAGAGAAGCATACAATAATTCTGGAAACATGATCTCAGTGCCCTTGCAGCTTTTTTCTCTTTCTTGTCCATATGTCTTTCTTTCTAAGGTTACTACGCTGACCTGTGAATACAGGTGTCATTGCCATGTTAAAGCATGTTAGGCCATAATCCAGCATTTTGTGTATAATACTTTGTTAGATAGCTCCTGCCCTGTGGGACTGTTGGAGGAGTATCCACCAGTTAAACAGACTAGTTTCAAGTTCCTTTCCAATGTGCCAATCCCACCCACTGCAAGCTCCCAGCACTGCATGGACAGCACATTAGTAAATCACAGCGTAAGGCGGTGTTAGCACAGCACCATGTGTGTGCATTAATGCGTGTCCCAGACTGCTCAACATGAGAAAAAACCAAAAGAACTCTCACCCCATTTTCAGGTGCCTCCCTGAGTTCAGGATTGTAATAATCAGGGTGTTTGAGCTTGAACGCCATCGTAACTGAACCTTTTGAAACTCTTCCATCCCAATCAAAAAGTTATTTATATAGACAGAGACAGATAAGACAGAAAGACAGACAGACAAGATAAGTACTTTCCATAAATACACAAGTGACAGAAGAGACAGAAAGCAGTTTAACAAATAAAGCAGAGCACACAGAGACTAGCATTAGACACACAAAACAAGGAAGATTCTTACTGATTCAGGACTGGGGTATAAGAATTCTTGTCCTCTTCTATGATGGAGACTATCAAAGTGATGAGCTTGGGCCAGAAATCCAGGTTCCTGATGCTGGGGCCCTGTTCCTCAGGAGGAAGGTCCTGATTTTTGTTCTGGGAAGGAAACCATTGATGAACCAGTGTAAATTTAAAGGGGAAAGAAAAAGCTGGCAAATGTAGATCACCATAGAAACTTCAAACACTAATTCCCTATGGACCCTTTTTTCTGAAGAGCTTAAAATTATTAATGCTTGCTGTCAACTTGCATGATCTAATGCAAAACACAGTAACAAGCCAAACCATATTGCTTACTGGTAGCCTTAAAGCCAAGTAATTCCTGTTTTGTTATTTACCATGCCAAGAGCAGGACAGGCTCCAGGAGATCTGCTCAGACATCATTTGCTATAAGCTGGTTTGAAATACTTGCCTTTTAGGGACCTAGGTTAACAACTACATCCACGCTGACACATCGTGCGTGCATTACTGCAGAGCGGCCAGTAGAGCTCTCATGGATGTGAAAACAATTTGTGTCTAGAGGTACCTCCTAAACCCAGTGCAGGGCACTGGGTTCTAGTAACCGAGATAAAATTTCACTACATGAGGTTTATCTATGCTAAAGACAGCTTCTTGAACAGTCTACATTCTTTTCTAATTGGCTTTTTTCACTCAAAGCTCCATCAAACCTTCCCTTCACAAATTGAAATAAAATAGCTGAGCTAGCAAAACGAATCATAATTAGTGTAAAATAATTATCATCCTCCACTTACTAATTAGTGTTCATTAGCTGATTACAAGTTTTTGCATTCAGAAGATAACAAGTCATATAATTTTGTCTGTGTTGGCTTTCTACACGAATTAGTATTCTCGTTATTATTTAAAGAAAATCAGCAACTTGAATTTCTGCCCGCTTATCAGCTACTCACAGGATCTGTCTGGTACTCTCGACTGTACAGCTCGTGACAGTTGTTGAAAATGTACTCATAGGTGGAGTTGAGGCAAGCTTTCACACAGTCCTTCACAACCTGGCTGGCTCGGGGTGGACTCTGCAGCTCTTGGACCTGACAAGGAGGCAACAGAGATTGTCAAATAAAGCACTGTTCATAAATCAAACATGGAAAGAACAAGTCAGTGGTCTAGGAGCTACAAAGGACCTGGTGGATCTGCTTTCAGCAACCTCTGCTATCAGTGATCTGAAACCATGAATGGATTGCTCTCTCCAGGCATAAAAAAGTCAGTGACAACACTTAGTCCCCACAGGATCATTTGGAACATAAAAGGGATTTTGAAGCACCAAGGATGATCTTCAGAATAAATAAATCATGTGTATTGACGTGTGTATAATCTGAGCCAATCACACATAATTTCTGCTAAATTCATAGGATTTTGCTAAGAAACCAGCAAGCAATCTTTCCCAACACTAGAAGAATGTGCAATACATTAGAGGAGCATATTACATCCAGTCTGGAAAGCCTTGCTGAAAACCGAATACTTGCATGCCTTTAAATACAAAAAACTTCCTTTAAGGACATCTTTCATCACAAGCTTTATTGAATTTTAAAGTACACCAGACTCCTTAGGGACATACCATCTGATACTCCTTTTCCTCTTCCAACAGCAGCTCTTTTCATTATGTCATTGCTTTAGAAAAACACTGCAGGGTTAAACTAAACAGATACACAGCCATCACCCTATGAATGAAACTAGAACCTGAGATGATTTTGATATTGACACTACCTCTACACTTTTCAGAGTATTTCTATAAGGCAGACTTTCAATACAGACATATTGTCTGAACAGGCACTTTCAAAATAAAGTTCTAAAATGTCATTTACCCTACGGCTTAAGAATAAAATTATAAGCGCATCCTGAAATACCTCAAATTAAAGATTTTGGTTTTGATAAGATAAAGATTACTAAGTGACATGTGTTAACCTACAATATTAAAAACAAAAAAGGAAAAAAAAAAGCAGGAATAATCTCATTACACACTGCTAGAACCATACACTTAACTACACAAACAGCACATTAGTATTCATAACAACCCTCTCGGATCTCTGCTGAGAGATATGATCCCATTTCAGTATCTCACCCCCCAAGAAATAAATTTAAACGTATTTACGAGATAAAAGATGCTGAAGAGATGGTAGTGACTGATAAATGTTGTACACAGGAAAACCTTCCTAACACAATTAACAAAAGTAAATTATCTTCCCAAACCAAGAATTTTCTTTTTTCTCCTTTTTTTTTCTTTTTGATTATTTGTGCCTTATTTATGACTGAAAAACCCCAGGGGAAACAACAACTTTCATCTTCATGATGCAAAATACAGTGAAGACAAGGCAAAATGTGGATGTTTATTACATGGTCAGCAGATGCTCTCCATTTTCCATGTCTAAAGCAACAACATGGAACAGTGATTTGAAAACAAGAAACCAACTCCTGGGGCAAAAACTGCAGAGGCTGTGCTCCCATCCCCACCCATAACACTACCTTCATCCTGAAAAAAGTGATGCTGGTCAGCAAATCCACTGTAGACTTCAGGTCCTGCAGCCGCTCCCGGCTGCTGGCTGGAAAGTTGTTCTGTTAACAAAAAAGGAAAATCCTGTTGGAAAGCACAGTCAGATCCATGCAAGACTTTAAGCATGTGCTAAATAAGGAAAGTGTCTTGGAAACATTTCCTGCTTGAGAAGCTTTTACCAGTCAAAACAATGCTCAATAAATAAGGCCTTTTTGCTGCAGGAGCTTATCTGTTTGCTTAATTAAATAGCTTCTTGTATGAATGTAAAATCTGTGGATATCAGGAGACTGATAGCCCTCAGCAGAAGGAGATCTCTCCTTGGCTGCAGGAGGAGCCAGCAAGGAGCAACAGCCACGTCACCAGCAGCTCTTGGCCTCTTGCTTGATGTTGCTTGTGTGGACCCTTTCCTTTCTGCATTCACTGCTTCTATTTTGGTTTCTCTTCTGAGGCAATGAGAGGTGTGGTATATTAGCAACCTCTCAAGAGAAATAAACAGGCCTGAGAAGGGAAAATGAGTCCTTGTTCCCTGTAAGAAGTCATGGTAACCACTCAGTGACCAAGCAGCTCGCAAAACAGTTTTCAAACTAATTATTCAGAGGGTGACTTGAAGCTACTCAAGGGAGCTCCAGCTCTCCCATCCTGACCTGCCAATGGAAGGAACACACATTTGTTTGTCACTTTCTTTTCCACAAATCCACACTGCTGGTTATTCGTTGTTTAAAGTGCTTACAAATAGCTTGATTAAATTAGGGGAAACAGGAGGATTAATCTGCGTAATTTAAATTGTGAATTCCCATCTCCTGTCTTGAAAGCTGGAAACCAATACCTTTTTCTTCCAGAATTTAACATGCCCTTCAGAGGTCTTAAGATAATTATTAAGAGCTCCCAAATTGATTCAGCCACTTCTGTAAATGTACTGCCAATTAGATAACATCTAAATTATTTAAACTATACAAATCTCTCCTGATCCTTTATGCAAGAGCTTACTTGTTTGTCCATGGTTTAGTTGCATGAGCCACTGGAAAGCAGCTTTTAGTGAAGACCGAGCAAACAAAAAAGACATCACCACCAGAGATTCCTATTGCCACTTCTTGATGATTTTCCCTCTTCTACTCAGTAGATCAGTGCTCTCTTCAGACCTTCTCTTTCTAGTGATGTAGATTTAAATAGCTATTTATACAACACTCCTTTTATCTTCTTTTGCAACTTGCCCCTTGTCGTTTTTGTCTTCCTAATGCACTTCTCCTCTTAGTCTGCTCATGTTTCTCTACACTATATGCTTCACTGTACTTCATATAAATGCACTAATCAGAAGAGGTTCAACTTTTAAATAAATGAAATCAAAGCTCATATTTTGCCACCGTTGTTAAATTTTTCAATGAATTAGTCACTAATTGAAATCAAATAGCAAGGAATTAAAAAAATGAAAGAAAAGCCACGTCACATGGTGACTAGAATAGCAAAGAAAGAAAATAGTGGTTTTAAGGAGACTGAGGGACTGATATCAACATCTGAAACTCATCTCTTCCCAAGGGGGCCAGGGGGATCTCAACCTGAAAGGACATCTTGTAGATCCAGAGTCAGGGTCAGTGATTCAAGTTCACCAAACCTAAAGTAAGTGACAACACAAGGGCAGTTCCTCTAAAAGATTTCTGTATACTAGGGGAGAGCAAGTCTGTTTTCTGTTTGTAGATGACACCTGAAGCAGCTGATAGGACTAATTCAAATCCAGCCTGCACAGTTCACAATCCTTAAATTATTTCAGAAGTCTTGAGGAAGTTATAATGGAAGAAAAAAACATGGTTTGTGTTCTATACATGAAGAAAACAAAATGGTGCATTCATGCAACAAGCTTGACATGACAATTCCGTAACACAGAAACTACCCAAAAACTTAGACGCATAAGAGAAATCCAAATAGCGTGTTTCCTGTCTGCCCACCAGAATGCCTGAAAGGATTTTGTTTATTCCCACTCACCCTGTACATTGAGAGATCAATCCGAAGTGAATTATGAAGCTGATCCAGAAGCTTCACAAATCGTTCTTTCTGTTGAGCAGAAAACACCAATAAACGTTACATATCATCACTGTCTAATCGATGTTCAGTGTAAGCAGCGGGGTATCAGGGAATTAGTGTCAAATCTCAGGAGAGTGGGAGGAAGCAATATGGATGCATGGTATTGTGCAAACAGTATTTTCTTTTGATTCTTGGATTTACTCTCATAGTGTAATTATTTCTGAAGTCTGTGTAACATTAGAATTGTTCATGTGTAACATCAGAAAAATATTCCATTATCACTCTCAAGTAGAAGCAGAACAAATCCCTCTCTGATTTCTAGCCTGCAATTTGCACCAAACTTATATTTAAGAGAAAATATTTATTCAGAGATGAATAAAGGAACAGGCAGAAAAGGGTCTAATTCAGAGCAATGACACAGCTCCAAGATCTTATCTGTTAGTTCAGTGACAAGTATTATAGGCTTCTCGTGACTATATTCTCAAGGTCAGGTCTCTCCACTGGATTCTGATCTAGCATCGTGAACACCTCCTCATTCAATCTATAAATTCTCAGTCTGAAGAGAAGCACGAGCTTTTCCAAATACTTTTCCAGCACGCTCAACTCCACCACGTTATATGAAAAACATTTTAACCATTAGGGGGACACACATATTTTTGGTTTGTATTTTTATAAACCAGTTTCTGTTTTTAAAACAAAGTTCTGAAACGATCAGATCACACAATGTGTTTTATCAACAGCATCTCCCGCAGAGTTTAAGACTATTTGCTTATTCCATACCATCTGTGCTCCAGTATAATTTGAACACAAAGAATAAACATCATAATACATTACATTGATTAATACCTAAAATGCATGGTGATGACAATAAAACCATGCTCTTTGCCTTGTCTAGAAGAGCTCCACAGATTCCAACTCCTCACAGAATTAATATTCTTTACACAGAACTAGTTACATATTGAAAGGCAGGACCACAGGCAAGTTACAGAAGTTGAAATGTAACATCACCAAACACGCTAACATACCCCAAAATTGGAGGCTGCAAAGCGGTCCGAAGCAGACACATTCGTGGAGGCAGTGGTGTGCGCATAATAAGCATTGATATTGGCAAGTAAGGTGCTCATCACAGCTGGCACGCCTGGGCACATGTATTTAGAGGAGAGACATGCAAAATGCCTGCAAAAGGACAGCTCTGTAAGTCATTCTGGTCTCTTTCATGTAGCACAACTTGATTCTATCCCTTTAATATTCCACTTACTCTGGCTGGCATCATGAACAGATGATAGTCATTTCCTCCCTTCCTGTAAATCTGCAGCATCCCAGAGCTATTTCAGAAAGATGCCATCTAGACAACAGATATGCTTGAAACAAGAGGAAATCCCTTCACTACATCCCCTTCCAGATCATAAAATAGCTTCTCAAGTATTTCTTGCCAACAGCTTGTGACTTAGGTGATACCCTGTGTTCCTAATCCAGTTCCTAGACTTAAGCTTGACACCACTTGAGGCAGCCACAGGTTCTGAGGTAACATGAGGCAGCAGTAACTGGAAAGCATTAAAGCACAGCGAGATCACCCACCAGTATTTCTGTGCTGCACTGATATGTGATTCCTTAGGGCTAACCCCTTTGCCCACAGGAAACATGCACACTCATTTGCATTTTCCCATTTAACTGTTCTCATTAAAATGCATGGAACCTTCCTGCAGGAAATACCAAAATTATGCCAGAAGCGGCTGGGCTTGTGAAATGATTAAACAATCAAAGAAAATCTGCTCAACATAAGCGGGGGAGGGGGGGGGGGGGGAAATCAGAGTTTAAGAGGTCTGATATTATGGGACATGGCAAGTGAAGTTCATCCCAACAGATAGAAGTGTTGGCATTTTTAAGCAGTCCTTTTTAAGCAGGAATCCTCACTGAGCTCCCAAAGTAAATTTAGGAACTACTTTCTAAATGTAGCTTTCTCCCTATAGGGCTCATAGAATCACTGAGTAGTTTAGTTTAAAACTATTACCCCTTCATCTATCACTGCAGATGTTCAAAAGTTGTCCCCATATTTCTTCTAAGCCCCATTTAAGCACTGAAAGACTGCCCTAAGGTCTTCCCAGAGCCTTCTTTTCTCCCAGCTCTCTCAGCCTTTCCTGATAGGAGAGGTGCTTCAGACCTCTGAGGGGTTCCATCCACTGGACTCATCACAAACATTAGCTTCTGTTCTAGTTAACATACAAATGATTATAACCAAAAAAGCTACAGTGAGAGAATTTCTCTGGCATTCACAAATCAGTATTTCAGACAAATATGATACTGACGCCTGAATCTTAACGTGCTTGCTACATGGTAACCGTGTACCAATTGGTCATTTAGACACTTGATAAGTAAAGATAAGACATATACAATGGCTTTATTTAGCTTGGAGAAGGGGTGAGGAGTGGGACTCTACTCAATGTCTTGACTACTTAGCAGAGAGGAGAGGGTTAGTGAGAATATTGAGCCAGGACAAAATCCTTTTAGAGGGAAGACTAAAAGATAAGCAGCAACATGAAGCAGTTACAGCACAGGAAATTCAAAACAGGGTTTTCCAATTTGGATTTCAACCACGGATTTCTTCCCCAGAGTAATACAGCCTGACGTCTGGAGCCCAAAGAGGTGGTGAACATCCACCCTTGGAAATTTTCAACACACTAAAAGAGGCCCTGAACAGTCTGGTGCAACTTCCAATTTAGCCCTGCTATAAGCAAGGACCAGACCTCTGGACCCACCTTCCATTTCTTTTCCACTTTGGCTTAAATCAATAGGCAGAAAAGGTGTTTGCAAGTGACATAATTATAGATAACACTTCACCCAAGGACTCAGACCCCAAGAGCTTCAGCATCTAACATGAAAAATTTCATGTTTGTCTGCTGTATTTAATATCACCTTTGAAATAATAAAAAAGCAAAGCATAGCACTGCTAGTTTTTAAGAGGAAAAATGGCTAATCCCAAATCCAAGTAAAAATATAGTGAGAAGGAAAATGCTCTTTGAAGATCAGGAACTGCATTAGCCTAGCTCCAAAGAGGACAAATCAGTAGCTCCATTATACAAACTTCCTATAAACGCCTTCAACAGCGCCTGGGAAATTAATAACTTCAAAGGACTTTATCAACTGCCACAACAGTTGGACAAAGACTCTCACAAAACCTCATCCCTTCTCACATCATTAGAAATCTTCAGTGGGATCCCTGGGCAGTATCTTTTTAACAGAGAGTGCTCAAATGGAGATTTGAGTCTTAAACCATAAATGGCTCACAACCAAACTTGGTGCAATTCCTTAAGATTAGTTTTAAAGATGTGCATACAAACTGTTCAGATAGATGCTTAATTCCAGCACTTTGTCAGACATTAATTTCTAGGCTTTGAGGAAACCAGTGATTCAGAAACGGGCAGTCTTTCCCCTTGCACAGTAAGCCCTATAAAAAGCAGCTGTCACTGACAAGCCTTCCATTACCTACACATTTCATCTTCTAAATATTAACAGTCACATTAAACAGTTACACCAATTACCCGCCCCGACGACACATGAAATGCATCTTACGTCATGGCCTGGTATATAGATTCAATGCCGTAACGCATTGCAAATTCATCCACTATCTCTTGAGCTGTCTCATCAAAATACACCTTCCAGGCATCATCTCCTTTGGCATCAGGGATCTTCACCACCCCATTCCCTTGCACATCTGTGAGATGGTGAAAGAGGTTCTGAAACACAAAACAGGATTGAAAGTATATGTGAGGCTGATGAAGCCTTCAAGTTTCATGAAGAGTTTGGAACTGCTCGGAAGAAGTCACTCACACAAATCTCTTTGCTCTCCCACCTCTTTCTTCCCCTACACATTATGTATTTCTTTTCTTCCTGAGTTCTCCTAGCTGAAATTTTTGCATGTGTACCTACGGTTTTACCCAGCAGACATTGCGAACGATGCAGAGGAGGTGCATGTGAAAATGCATGAACGATGCATGCGAACGATGCAGAGGAGGTGCTTCAATGCAGTGAAACCACAGACTAGTTTCCTGAAACCTACACACTTCTGTCCTCAGAATGAAATGCCTTAACATGGATGAGCTATTGAAACTAGCTGAAGTAACAGTTCTATATAGGCTTTGTAACTATTATTACACAGCAAAACAGTCCAAACAAATCTTATTTTGTTTTTAAAAGGACATCCTTAAGATCACCCCTACCGACTAGACACTTGCATTATTATTCAACATAACCCTTTATTTTATCTAACACTGCAAAGGCTTTCAGCTATCACTGCTGTGCAGAGTATGCACGTCACTTAGAGATTCATCAGCCTCTCAGACAGCTGGCTCCCTGTAGTAAGGAATACAAAAGTCCAACAATTTTATTAGGAGCTAGAGGACTCTGCTTTACTCTACTATTTTTCCTGATTGAATTATTCTAGCTGTAAATCATCTTCATATTATGATACACAAATGAAAGAAGGTGATACTTAAAAGGAGACCTATTTGCAAAAAAGGGCAGCAAGTGATCATGTATGTTCAGAAAGAAAAAAATGAAATGGCTTACCAAGCAGAAGCCACCACTGAATTGAAAAACAATAAATATTTATTGAAGGACACAACACAGCCAACTAAAGGAAGCCTACTGATGTTTTTCTAAGCTTCCTATCTGTCTGTTCCCTGGTAAGGCCAGAGGACACCACAAGGCTCATCTAGCCCAACATCTGGATAAATATATTGCTCTGCAGCTGAACATTCCTCTCTACGACACATTTGTCCTTCTTTTCTAATATGAACTTCCTTAAACCTCACTGGATCTCATGATACTCTTTTATGTCAGGTGAAAGGGGCTCTGACTACTCTACCTTGTTCAGGCTCTTAGAGACTGACCCTGCTACTTGCCTTCTCTTTGACAGAGAGACTTTATCATGTCATGTATCAACCTGAGACAGGGTTTTCCCTTTAGTCCTTCTCACAAGTCATCTTTGGAGTTTACCCACCTTGTGCAGCACTGCCTGCCCAGCTCAGTCCACCTGAGACAGGTCACTAGTCAGTAACCATAGCTTATTTTCTGTTCCCCAACACACACCAGTGCAGCAGCACAGAAGCACCAACACCCACATAACTCAACAGCAAGTGCCAAAGCCCTCCCCAGACCAGAATTTACTCATAAAGTCACAGATAGGTACAGTACATGCTGAAAACATCACTCAAGAAAATTCAGACGTTTCTCCACATTAAACTTGTGGACCAATGCCCTATCTCTGGATATGGCACAGCTGTGACAGTGGAGCAGAGTGAGCCAGCCAGCCCCTGGTGCGGAGGAAACAGCCTAAAAACATCTCTGCCTCCCTGACAAATGCAGGTCTGATGAATCAGTGTAGTAGGCCTGCATAGCAGGGAAAAGCAAAGCACATCTAGTGTAAGGAGAAACATTTCAGGGAAGGAAAGGTCAGAACATTGCTTCTTCAAGAGACAGAAGGAACATGGTGATGACTGAGCTGAACTCACTTCTTACCTCATGAAGGCAAGTGTACTGAATATGATATGGAGCCACCTTCTCCTCGCCTTTGATCTCCACACTGATTTGTAGGCGAATAGCCCCAGACACTGCAGACTTATCTGTTCGCTTTTCTAGAAGAAAAAATCATCAGCAATTACATGCATTGCTCCTGATCAGAGCAGAACCATCTTGGGGTGACAACACTGGAAAAAAAACTGCTGGAAGCTCAGGCTAAGCTTGTGATCAGAGTCACCATGGAGAAAACTTTGACTTTTTCTAACACTGGCTATTAAATAGACATCAGCAAAACAAATGCAGTGTTACACCCTCAATATGACACATCTAGCTAGAACCATGTACATTTCTAGATGTAAGAGAGCCTTTCTGCCAACAGATGTGCAATACGGTCTTGGATTCATTCGGCTGAACTAGAACCACCAAGGACAGTTCCCTTTCCCAAGAACGAGGCTGACTGATGTGGAATTTATTCCTGATTTATACCATAGTCTTTAGCCCTGGGAACTGCTGGATGTGCCTCTGAAGGTTTTGGACCTCCTAAGATTATTACTATACCTGTCAATTCAGCATGGTCTGGTCACTTGCCAGTACTTTCTACAATGTTCTATTTTGGTCACTGGGAAAGGTCTCAACAACTTCCCAGCCCAGTGCAATCCACCTTCAGGTGTTACAGACTGTTAAAATGCTTGTGTTGGCACAAAAAAAAAGGCACAGGACAGGAAATGTATCTCCAACACAAATGGAATACAGCCCTGCTCTAAGCATTTTACCCACTGTACTCTTCAATGCCTGACAGGGAAAAACCATCACCCTTCTGACATGTTACACTCCTCACTTCAACTGGGACTAAAGCCTTGCAGCCGCTCTGCAACACCATCATATGCCCTTGATATCATCTGAGCTTTTCTTCCTTTCTTGCAAACTGTCCATATGCAGCCAAGCTCTCTCAAGCATTCCCAGACTAACACATGACGGGTTTTTATCCCGAAAGCCCTGCTCACCAAGGTTGTACCACACATCCATTTCTCCGCTAAGAGTACGGACTTCAATGATTGTCTGCCCCAGGAAATCATCCGACTCGCGCTTCAGTCTCTGCTTGACACGAGACTTGATGTCATCATCTTCATCCCAGACACGCACCTTGATTCGGTCAGAAGAATTATGGCACTCACTGCAAACAAAACAAACGTCACACTGAAGAGCACATAATGCAGCTAATGTTTTTATGCTACGTGCATCACATTCCACTTGACCCACTTGCCCAACAGTAAAGGGATGCATAAACAAAATGAAAACCATGCCTGGAACGCCTGATAGGAACTACACAACAACATTTAGGTGTGCTGTAAATGCTCCAGTGACACAGACACTGTACTTCAGATGCAGGCTGAAGAAGCACCCTGCCCTGACTACAACCACCAGCTTCAGACTTGCCAAGCATATGTGATTCTCTTGCTTGTCCTCACTCTCAGCAGCAGTTCCCTGAACTTGGGAATTCTCTTCATTGTTGTTACTTTTGCTGTGAAGCCCACAAAAGCCTAGTGATAGCTAGGATGGTAAACTCAGCATACACACCCCAAAAATGATGATGAGCATCTCACTGGTTTCTGGTAGCTCTCCCCATCAATGATCTTCTGTTCAGCTGTAGGCTTTAAAAGCTACTTGTGTTTATGGATGCGCAGTATCTACGACAGTACGGCCAAGGCCTATGACAAACACCCTTCATGCTGTTTTCTAATAAAAGATGAATAGCTCAGGTGGAGCTAGCTCTCTTAAGATAGTCATAAGCAGTAGTGTATCAATGTACAATACATTATGATCAAATTATATAAACATTGGCTGTGCCTGGGAGGAAAGGGTGGGATACAGTAGTTACAAAGTTGGTATTTAATTACTAGAATTGATTCTGCCTACTATTCACAGCTCAGACTGATCTGCTATCTGGGCAGATCAGTAAGGACACTTCCATTTCAAGAAAAGCAGTTTACTGCTTGCTGAATCAGCTTAAAGCACAGGCAGAACCTGTAGCTTTCTCCCCTCTTTTTAGGTGTTAGATACCTTCTGTAGATCCAAACAGGCTCCCACATGTCAGAAGTGGGTAGAAGAACCTTATTGTAAGAATTCTGCCCACTTACAGAACATGAATAAAATAAAGCAATCTGAATGCTCACAGCCTCTACAAATGTCTATCCTCAAGGAAATAAAACCTATGAAAAGAGGCAACTTGCGCTGAAGGCCTGTTTTCCAGCCTTTTTAACATTAACATGCTGCATCTGTTGCTAAGCAACAGGGAGAAGGAAGAAATGGGTCAGAAGAGATTTGCTAAGTCTGGTCAGTAAGATGTGGCAGCGACTGGTATTTGCATGATCTCTACCTAGAAATTATTTGGGCTCCTACTGCCATTATTGTAACTCAGGGCTGCTTAACAGACATCCATGCAGCTACTATTGATTTTTCCAGTAGAGAAGAATAGCTGCGAATTAATCAAAGAAAGTTAGAGGCAATTCCATGCAACTCCAATCACAGGCAGAAAGCACCGCTGCTCCCTGCCTTTGCTGTACAATCAAAGCTCTATTTAGAGATCAGAAGAATGAAGGTTCAATAGTTCTCTCCTGCCTTTATTCTCCCCTTCCTCCTCTTCTACTGCAAGGGTATCTTCCTTTACAAAACCATGCAGAAAGTGTTTACAAGCAGTAATACTTGGACTGCTGCTCTTTGCAGTTCTCTAATTTATCTGAGCCCAATGCCACATCTACCAGCAACACAGCATAAGCATGTAAAAGAAAACCTCTGTTCCTGACATGGCGCACTAGCGTACGTCGTGTCAGTACCTCAGAGGCTCAGTGTTCAGAAGTGCATGGGTGCCTAAGAACGCAGATTGGCACATGTGCCATTTAAAAATCACCCCATTTCTTCAGACCTCACCTCTGGCACACATGTTCTTTGTAATGACTGCTCTGATCTTGTTTCTTTGCCACCGTGGATTGAAAATGTCTCTTTCTTTTAGGAAAACATTCACTGTTTAGACCTAAATCTACCTTAGCCAGTGCCACATGCATGATACCAGGCTTGTGGAGTGCTGGCTATCACCCTTCATTTGGCTACAATAGCATAACTCACTGTTGAGTGCTATAGGAAACTTTCCAGTAGCATTTACTGAGCAATAGAAGCTTATATTTTACCACACCTTTCCTTATGTTTAAGACACCGCTCAATTCATATTTCTTATGCTGCTCCCATGCCAGACAGTGAGTCTTATCACTGCCTCACAGCAGCTGAAAGCCTTGTGCTGATTGCTTACCCATAAAATATCACCAGCTACATCCGTAGGAAACATGGACCTTTTGGTGAAGCAAACAGTTGTGTCAACACCACTCCTCTTTCCAGAGAGCACCCCAAAACAGAACCATCAATACTAGAGGACTTGGGCTTAATGACTGATTACAGGTTAACTAATGGGAAAATAGCTTCCAATCTGTAGCAGCATCACAATACTGGCAGACTGGGGCTAACAAGCCCTGCTGCTAGAAACTTTCCTCTTCATTAATACAGGAGCTGGAACATTTCTAAAGATGCTTGCCCCACTTCTTTCTACAATCCTGTGAAGCTTGATGTCACTGTGCGCACACATATGTCTGTCCCGTCTCCCACGGCCGAGCTCCCACAGCTTTCCCAAGAGGATGCAGAGAGAAGAATCACTCTGTGACCCCATTGTAAAGAAGAAAATACCAAATGCTTTCAGGCCTATTTCAGAGTGCAAGAGACTGGAAACCAGGTTCCCTTTGTACACGGCTCAGAAATTGTCTCTTTTATGTCCATATTGTCCTGATGTCTGTATTGGTGCCATTTTTATAAGGAACTTACTTCTACACGTCAAGCTACCAAACAGAATGACAACTTCAAGAAAAAGCATATCAAATATTCAAGAAAACTTAAAATCAAATAAATTGTGGAGTTGTCTTTTCTTTTTCATGAAGTTTTTCTGCCTGAAGCCAGTGGTTCCCTGAGCAGCGGAAGCACCCAAGCCTGGTTCTGCTGACTTTCTCTCTATGCTACTCTCTACCCCCACCTCTTCTGCCACATTCCCCTATGGCCTCACCCAACCCCAAACCACCAGTTCCCCACACACATCCCCTGCACTGACAATACTCTGGCCTCCTCCCATGCCCAGTTATCAGCTGGGCTGAGGGGAAGCACGCGAGCACACGAAGCTGTAGTTAATTCTGGTCTGCTCACACAGCAGCATACCCACACACATGCTAATTGGTATATTGGTGGCTAAACAGAACAAGCAACTGCTGAATTTACACTATAGTGCCTCCCACAATGAAGTTAGCAAGTTTACCCTTCTAATCTAGCTCCAACTTCCACCAAAAGAACTGTAGAAAGCAATTCTTACTTCCGAGACCTCTCCCCATCTGTAAATAAAAAGACATTTGTGCTGAATCTGCTAATAATTTGCTGTTTGTGCTAACAACATTTGCAGCATTGTCACTTAACCTTCACAGGAACACTACAACCAAAGTCACAAGCCTTGTTAAACTGTGGCGAAGTTAGTATCTCTAACAGCAGAACTTTTATAAAGGTATACTATAAAACCATGTGCCCATCAGTTCACAAAATGATCTTTACGTGCAGTAAAGATCACAAGTTTAAAGCATGGAGAGTGCCAAATTGAAAACCTGTAATCTTCTGTCTCCATTAGTTCACATTTGTGAACCTACACTCATGAAGACAGTCTGGTAAATAATTGGAAGGTTTAAAGTCCATTTGTATGCCATCCACATGGACATCTCTTCGCAATCGATTTCTCATCTCAACACAGGTGTTATTAACACGTTGACCCTGCAGGACTCCCCAGGCCCTCAGCTTCATTCCATTAATGCTGTGCAGAGACTAGACTGTGCATTTCTAAAATGCACTGTTCAGACTAGAGAGGTGGAATGCCTACGCAGTCATAGAACGGTCAGGTTGGAAGGGGCCTTAAAGCTCATCCAGTTCCAACCCCTGCCATGGGCAGGGACACCTTCCACTAGAGCAGGTTGCTCCAAGCCCTGTCCAACCTGGCCTTGAACACTGCCAGGGATGGGGCAACCACAGCTTCTCTGGGCAATCTGTGCCAGTGCCTCAGCACCCTCACAGGGAAGAACTTCTTCCTAATACCTAATCCCTATCACTCTACGTGGCCATTTTATATAAAGATGTTTCTTTATATTATGTTATTTTCTTCTATTTTCTGCCTGAAGAGCAGCAGAGACCAGAGGCCCCTTATGCAGCCAGGAGTCCACTGTGTTTGGCAGCTCCCAAAGTGGAAGACAGCCCCTGCCTTGTACAGCAGACAGGCTAATAAGGACAAAAAGCAATAAGTAGATGTAACAAGAACAAACAATAGAAGTTAGGGACCAGAGGAAGCAACAATATTTTGCAGATTTGAAAGTATGTCAGTCAAGCCCAAAATTAAGTAGTTTTGCTGTGTTTTGATACGACAAGTGTTTATGGTTCAAAAGGTCTACTGAGTATCTACATGGCCATATTCTGTAAGAAGTTTCCCTTCCGCACCACAGCAGATGCAGCTCTCCAGAAGGGCCTGTAAAGTTCACAGTCCTGTGCAAGGGACATTTCATGCAATGGTAGAGAAAGAAAGCACAGGGCTGCTTGCAGAAATAATGGGTGAGAGTGCAGGAGGTGGGAAAAGGCACACGAGAGAATAGATGAGCAAGGCTTCAGGGCCTGGGATCATTTTAGGAGGAAACCTTTGCTTCTGAGCAAAAAAGCTTGGGGGAAAAAAAAAAAAAAGTTATTTTCTGAAAAATGAGAAAGAGATACAGTTGTAGGAATCACTATGAGGAAGCTTAGTAAAGAGTTATAACAACACACACAGAAGGAGCAGAAAAAAGGTTGCCTACAGGAAACGGCCTGGCTGAAAAAGCAGGAAGATTTGGATGTGGTTCAGATGAAGGGTCCAACTGGCAGCTCTGTGGTGGCCAACTTCAATGGGAGCAGAAGGCAGGAAACTCCTCAGGACAGGTTAATTTTTAAACAATACCAAGACTCTTCTATTAGTGAGAAAAAAGGACAGCAGGGAGAACACCAAAGGCAAAATCAAAGCGGTAAGAGAACAAAGCTAAAATCCTTAGTAGCTTAGACATATGCCCTGAGATCCAGGTGTTGCTGTCTTAAGAACAAAGAAACGAGTTTTCTGTTCTAAGTAGCATGAAGCTCTTTTCTTAGGGGAACAAGTACAATCATTTTGCTGTAACCCAATGCTACAACACCAGCTGACAAATTAATGGTGCGTCTCTCCTAACTACAAAGAGCAGATAAAGTGATTCTGAGCGTTACATCCTTAGCTACATTAACTCAGCTTCCTAACAGGTGCTTGCCACAAGGCATCAACTCTGCGTGCAAATTTAAGTTTCACATTGGTAGCTGAGCAGAGAAACAAGTGGGATTTTATCAGTGCCAGTTTCAGAATCCGCAGTACCTGGAGAAGAAAGCAAGCAAGACAAACTGAATGGCTCCTGCCATGCAGTGAAGGGAAGCAGAGGAGACACAGTTACAGTGACATTTATAAACACAGTGGTCCCAGAAGGGGTAGTATAAAATACAGCTCTAGAACAGACATATATAACCACAGAGAAAACCGAAAGATGCCAAGCGTGACAACAGCTGAAAGAAAAACCGAGGAACTGAACAGAAGCTTGTGAGTGACAACCCACTGGTTAGCTATGCAGTAGCACCATTCCCAAAGGATTAACAGGAATGTGTATCATGTGGGGCTCTGCATGTCCTAGTGAAATTGATTATCTGCTAGCAGGAGGCACCACATGTATTTTAACTCAGTTACTCTTCTTAGTTAGTCAGAGAGAATAAACATGCTTGTTGCAAACTGTTCAGTGACGATGTAATCTGTTCCAGGCAGTGATTTCACACCCACCATTCAAAGCTTCAGGCACAGCTGTACTCAGACCATACAACTTCAAAAAGATATTACTGTAAAACAAACGAGTCATTCTGCACACAGGCCAAGAAAAACAGCAATGGCCTGTCTGAATCCAGTACCTTCCACTGTTCACAGTCATTAAAGACTGGGTCACTTCCTGAATAAAAGGTACAGACTAACAGCCTCCAAACAAGCTCTTAAAAGAACTCTTCCTTTAAAATGGAAACTCTGTCCTGTGGTCAAGTTTTTCTCCCTAAATACCGTCTCCTTTTGCAACCCAATGGATGCTCAGCTTCAGCCTTCACAAAGGATTCTAGGAAGCCTGTAATTTCCGACAGTCTAAAACATGTCTAAATGGGGAATGTCCCATTCTAATCACACTGAACAGTGAAAAAAATACCTCCCCTCTAGTATTACTGGGCTGTTTCCTAAGGAAAAGGAGTTCTGCAGATTTGTTATGAAAGCTTCAATGTTCTGACAAGCTTTGTGCAAAGAGAATCCCATACCAGCTGCCATCCCTGGAAAGCCTGCAGCCGCCTGATTCTTACATACCAACCGATGTAGACAACTCAGAACCAACTGCAGGCAGGACACGTGCTGTCTTCTGGTCCACCAGAGTTACAGGCAAGAGAAGAGAGTTGAGGGCACAGAGGAGACATGCACATGGCAAGTAAAGGAGGCCACCCATAAGCCTGCTCATCATAACAACAGAAACGATGAAGGAAAAGGATCGGCATGTAAAGCCAAGGGAAGCAGGGCTTCCTTAGTGCATACTGATAGAACATCTCTTCCACCAGTGCCTGGAGCCCCCCATTAATCCTCATCCTACCAAGCATCCCACTTGGTGCAGTCTCTGCAGCAAGCCTGCAAAACTTCGACCTGAAAGATGAGAACTCAGCAGAAAGACCACCCCTTTATATTTTCCTAAGTCTTCAAACTCCAGTGAAAGATACAAACATTTCTAATGATGTATTTCCAAAAGCTGAAAATCTAAGTACACAAAGAGGTCATTTTCACATGCAAACCACTTGCCCAGGCAACGTGAATATGCTCCAAGAACCAGTCATTAATCAGCAGATGCCTACAGTTACACAGGCTAGTAATGACCTAAATAGCATTTATAATGGAAACCCAAAGTGTTTTCAACCTTGCCTTTTTTAAAATATGGATCTAAATGTGGACTTTCGAATTGGGTCAAGCCTACCAAGATTTTTTTTTCTGAAAATACGTAGAAAAGGAACAAAGTCATATTTAAGGAAAAGTATTTAAGTTAATACACTTTTCCATCCATCACTGTAAATAAAGAGAAACTATTTGAAATAGGCTACTGCAGCCTGAAAAATTTTAAACCTTATTCAAGCTGTTTTTAATAAACTTTACTGAGTCTGTAGAAGGAATTTACCACTCAGCTGTGCACAGTCTGCCTCAATTCATGCCATGGATTACAACAATAATGCTATAATTATAATGACTGATGCACACAGATTTCTGGCTCTATATCCAACCTTTTAAAAGACACTGAAATCGTGATTGTGTAAGAGACACTGGGCATCTAATGAGCACCAGCTACAAACAAGTCTCTCCACCAAGCCAAACAGAAAAGAACAGCAATTGCTAACACACACATTAGTTACTGACCTGACCTCTATCTACCCACATATCTCTTCCGCTCATTGGAATACTTAAGCATTTTGAACACCAGGCTTTTCACATGTCTACCACAAGGCAGGCTTTCAATAACTACCAGCACACATTTCTCTCACTATAACAAATTAACTACATTCTAAGAATCAAACACACACACACCCCTTTAAATTTTACAATCTCTTGATTGTCCTGACAACCTCTAAAAAAAGCTTAGTATGTAATGAGTATTTTGGGGCCTGCATATGCGATTTCCATCTAATTATGGGGTAGAAAAATTCAGAAATTTTAGGAGTTGTAGGCTGAAAAAAGAGCCATAAATGTAAAAAAGGAAGATGGGCGTGTAAAAGATCAGTGCTGCATACACGTCTAAATGACTCTCCTCATCCAGCATAAGGTGAGCTTTGACATCAAGTAACAAAACAACACATTGACTCCAGTACTGAATGGAATCAATCCTGCCATCAATCTGGACACCGTGCTCATCTCCTTCATCACCTCCTGCTATTCCAAGGCAATTAGAACAACAACCTAGACACAGGCAAGAAAGCAGCATCAACTCTTAATGCCCAACAGCATTATTATCTGCTGAATCACAGACATGGCAATAAGATCTAAACAGTGGCACCGTTAAAACTGTGACATTTATCACGTTGTGCTATCTATCTTTAAACACAGTATTCGTTGAAGCTCCTAAAATTAGAAGGGAACACACGGCAAATACCATGGTAACTACTTGGCATGGCAAATCAAGGTCCTTAAGGCTCCCACTTAGACTTACTGCTACTGTGACTGGAGTTATCCAAATGGCACCTAAGCATACTTACTACTTACCAAGCAGTAATGTTACCTTGGATTAAACTAAGAATAAAGTCGAGGGCTTACTCCCTCAAAATAGCACCAATTTCTTATGTTAATGAATAGTCCAAAACTACTTGAAAAATAATTTTGTTTTTACTGCACATTGTAAATACAAAGCTGGGATGATATAAGCCCCATTTTACAACACAAGCAAATTTCAGTTTACACAGACAGCTCCCCCCAAGCAGTTTAGGAACTAAAAAAAAGGAAAAAGAGAGAAGATACAAGGGAAGAGCTTACATGTTAAAGGAAATAAAGATCTTTGAGGTTAAATGAGATCACCCAGAATCTTTAGAAAATGCTTGCTGGATTTCATGTCTCCACTTTGCTTTATAACATGTTCAATGATAAACTGAGGGCATTGTTTACTTATTCAATAAAAGCAGGATAAAATAATACATTCTTCAGTGTTTCGAGAGTAGTTGATACATACAGAATTGTGCCTACGGCCTTTGCTTTCAATTCAGACAGGGATGCATTGCTCATCTTGAAAGCAGATAATCCCTTGATTTACTGCTGCATTGATTTTCCAGAGCTGAAAGGGGAGACTGGTAGTGCCACAGCCAAGTAATCAGACAACTATCTTTAACCTCAAACACCAATAGCAGATCACAGCAGTTAAGTCACAGGAAGTTGCTTAGTCTTTTTTACAAACTTTACTCCTTTATATTTCAAAGTATTTTGAAAGTATGTCTATTTAGCAGACACAAAATCATTGAGTTAAAGATTTTCCTTTCTCTTTAGCTTTCTCTAGAAACATCAATATAAAACTATTCACAGAGCAAATGATTTATAAATACAGAAGACAGATGAGATGGACAGGTGTGCACTACGTACGTTGTTAAAGACATCAACCGTCCAGTTGCACACACACAGTGAAATAAAAACCATCATACACTACAGATAATGTAGGAACACGCACTGACAGAGAAGACACACAATATGGGGCTGAGAGTCATTGTAAGAGTACTTACAAGTAAAACTTTTCTTCCCATACAGGGTTCAGATTCCCAAAAATCGTTTTTGTCCTCTTCTTTGTTTTACCCACTTGAACAGTTACATACGGATCGCTGGACCCAGTCTTGTCTTTAGCCTGAAGACCCTGAGCACACACCACTGGAAGGAAAAGACAAGGGTTACCACCACCATGCAACAAGACAATGTGTCCACGCATGACACAGCAGCTCAGAAGGGCCAGGGGAATAGCAGTATCACTTATGAGACTTTTCTGATTATCTGAAGCTCATGGTGCACTAGTGCCTGCGTTGGGAGTATCTCCACCTGCTAATTTACACGAAGCAGAAAGAGACACAGGTCAGAGAAGCCTCTTCTCTCTGTTTTCTCTAGTTTCATACCAACTCTCTCTTACCTTCAGCTCACAAGTGAGGCAGAGAGAACCCATGCATCCATCACTCACCTGTGATAGTGATCTTTGCTGACCATTTGGAGGTGCCATCAAGCACACTCTGCTTCACTGTCTTCATCTGCTGAGCATGTGTCAATTTGCTCTCACAGAACACATCTCTAATCAAGTCAAAGATCTCCGGCTTGTTCCGCTCCCGGATTTTCATGCGATCCTTCATTGCCATGATGAAATTCTGCGTTCGGTCTTCAGCTCCATGCTTCGAGCTCTTCTCTGCTGCTCCTGTGCACCAGAAAATACACAATACTCACCGGAAAGAGCCAAACACCAACTCATGTTTCACTGAATATGAATGGAAGATCAAAGCCATGAGCTACCCTCCTCATGATGACTCTTGCTGTTAACTCTTACAGTTGGAGTTCCCCCTATTTCAACATACATACAAGAGAATCTGGACCACTCAGTGCTGGGAGGGGACAATACAAGGGAAAAGATAGAAGGGATAATAGAACAGAAGAAGGCCCAGATTCTTCTATAACCCGGGACCAGGTTACTCTACTGACAACAGGCCTGAGTTTAATACCCTTGCAGCTGAGGAAGACCCAGAAATATGGTTCTTTAACAGCAAACATCAGGATGCCTCCTTATCTTAACACCTTGCCTTGAATAAATTCCTGCTTGGCAAGTGCTAAGAAGATGACAGTACAAATAGTAGCTATGAACTTGTCTCAATACTGCACCTTAGCAACTTGGGAGAGCACAAATTCAGATGGGCCAACATGGTCAGCATTTCTTACTGATAGGTGCTACATGACTCCCCATTCAGCAGAGAGTTACTGCACAACCTATGTCCCATTCTGCCTGGAACCACCTTGTTTGGATCAGACACCAAGCCAGAGACATAATAACAAATGAATATAAGGTAGCAAATTCAATAGTTACAAACTTTGCCCATCATAAGCACTAGTACAGAATCCAGCTGGAAACACAAGAGCCAAGCATAGGGTCTGTACTATGTAGCTAGCCAAATGTATCTGGAAAGAGAGAGGCCTCTGGTCACTTGCATACCTCTCACAAAATTTAGAGTTCATATAAGCAGGAGGTAAGAATGCTCCCCCAACCAGCTACTCCCTACTCAATTCATACAGTCATGTTTGATGTCAGAATTCAGCCACTGAGAGCTAATGAAAGCACTGACATGAGCTAACAGGGCAGACAAACTTGGGTATGAAATGAAAAGCAGGAACCCAAGATTGCACACAGTGTCTCTACATGCAATCTGCAACAATTTCAAGCTATGATCTTAAATCAGATTAAGTGAAACCAGTATAAATGTTCTGTGAACACATTTGATCATAATATTTCTGTTTAGTTTCATATGGTTTTGCTTGTTTTCCTTCTCTGGGATAGTTTAATTAAAGTAAGCTTTTTCCTAGAAAAATTATCTCCATCCAGGTGTTCACCAAATATTACATCACCTTAAAAATCCGTATTGAAGCACGTGCAAGTGTGTACAAAGAGAGACATCAATCACAAAGATACATAAAGCTGTTTTCTTTTGGAAGAAATGGGCAAATATGATTATCTGCAGCACCTTTAATATAATTTTTGCATATGAAATAGTTTCAGCATGTAATGACCAAATATGAATAAAGGTCTATGAACACAGATAAAGGACCCCCAGCAGTACAACATAACAGGCAACCTTTTATCAGGCTCAAAAGGGTGCTCAGTGACTAACAGTGCCTGAAAACGTCTATTTCTAGGGCCTTCAATATAACACCTTTCATCGTTACTAAATTCACTTCAATAAAGAAACAAAACTCAATTATAACTTCCACCATCCAAACCAAAAAGATTAAAAAAAAACCCACAGTTTGGAACAGGCTATGACTGTTGAAATTTCAGAAGTTCATTAAGGACACTGCATACCCATGCATGCTATTAAGGACCTGGGTATAAAATAAGCCATAACTTCACATTACCTGATTATTCTTTTCATTTTACTTGCTAAAGGCTTGATGTTCAGTATTTCATTTAGTACAATAAAATGTATCGGCCCCAGAGTTGCCTATTGTTGGCTTAAGATGAAATAAAAATACTGGAATTAATTACACAGTCCCTGCTCTCTCTACTTACCGGTGATAAAGAACTAGCACCACCCAAAGTGATGTCTTGTATCAGGCAGTCATCCAGCTGTAGACCCAACGTTTATTAAAGGAATGGGAAACTGAAATGATACCAGGGGCTACACTTTGAACTTCAGATAAGAAGTGCTATTCAGCTTTAACAGAACTGGGTCTTCTAGGGACGGAGGTGGACTCTGAATTACACACAGAACTACAGAAAATTGTTGGGAAATCAGGAACGGCCAAGCTAAATAATTTGCCTTTCCTAGCTGGAATTCTGCGATCTGTCATGATCCAAATACACCAACTCTGCCCTGACCTTTGTGACTCTAAGGGAATTAAGAACATGTAGAAATTCAAACATTAAGAGCTTATGTTCGTGCATGAGCAGAGTGCTCTACTTCAGAACCATTTTCTAAATAACTTACTACACAAGCAGCTTGCAAATATAAATGTTTCATTGTTCATCATTGAGATGGAACAAGACTTACCACAGTTCTGGGATAACATGGGCTGCATTACGGCCTTAATGCAAGCACTCCAGGAGCATCAAATGATGCTTTAGAACACAAACTTGGGAAAATGGAGGAATTCTAGTTAAAATCATCATTAACATCCCCACCACCTCCAGAGACCTTGCATTGTGCATGTATCCCTCTCTGAGGCTAGCAGCAGTTCCTGGCATGTGCGGTTGTAGGATGTGCGAGCCATGTCACACAGACCCCAAGAGATTCCTCTCTTTATTCAGCTCCAAGGCTTGGCTCTGCCTCCTGACTTACAGAGGAAAGCCCCCACCTCCATCCATGCTTCTTCCCCACTTTGACCCAACAACTTGCACAGATAAGAAGGCTCAATTATTCTTTCCCTGGGGAAGGTCTCTCTTCCTGCGGAGTTTGCACCTGAACTACAGTGGAAGAGCCAGAATCAGGCAGACACTTTGATTATCAACACAGACTAATAAAGAACAGAGAAACTCTCTGTCTCAATAGTACACTCTTAATTTTAACACCTGCTTGCTGGTACAAAACCCCCAGAGATTCCAAAACATCCACTGGGGGCACTGGGGGACTAATTACCTATGATGTATGTGATATAAACCCAAAGCATGTCACTATACTGGATGGCAGAGGGTGCTTTTCCTGCTGCTGGACTTGGATCCTATTTATCCCGCTACAAAAAGAGAGGTTTGGACAGCAGATCAGCTTTTCCTGTAGTCCTGTAAATGGCAACAGAAAGGCATGGGAATATAGAAGTACTGTGTACAGCATCATGCAAATGGTACTGTGCTTTCCTTCTCTCCTCTCTAGGCCTGAATTAAAAGTCAATTTATGACTGGAAACAGAAAGCAAACATGTCTATATTGAGAATTGTATCAATACAGCTATTAGTAAACTACCAGTGCCGCTATCCTGTGCTTTAACAGGAAAAAGTCAAGAAAGCAACACTGGCAGGATAGAAGACAGCTGTTCAGTAGGCGGATAATGCTTAGAAATTATATATTCTTGAAACTTAAAATAGATATTCAAGTTTCAAATAAAGGTATCCTTCCTCCTTCTGTGCAAATATTTTCCTGCATAGGATTCTGGGAGCAAACAAGTGCTCATCACCATGGTGCCTAATCATCACTCAACACAGAAGCCAAGATGATTATCACCAGAGTTGCTTCTTTGATATCACTAACAGTCCACTCACTAAGCTGGTCTCTGAATTGCAGTCTTTGAATTCAGAGTACCACACACACAAGTTTCTTATCCAAAAAGCAGTAAACATACCTGACTTCCAGTCTTGAGTCAAAAAGCACTGAACAACTCCAGAGGTGAACCAAGACACTAGGTGCCAAGACAGTACTGAAAGCAGGACATTCAGTAATGCAGCCCTAACAGCTTGTGTGAAGTTCTCCAAGGTTTGTTGCTCCAGCACAGCATAAAGAAGCACTAATAAAGACATGTGGCTAATCACACTCACAACACAGATTCCCAGTTCAATAGTGGTTTAAAGCTTGAGATCTTATTTCCCCATTGTCAAGATATCCGGAGGACAGGATTCTGATACCCCAGGGCAGTTTCTTTCCTCAGGTTTAACTGTGGCTTTTCAAATACTAGCCCTGAACTGCACAGGCCCCTTTTACTAGGATTGTGCTAACATAATGTCCTTCCCTTCCACCCTCTTCATAATTACATTTATTTTTCTACATCTGTTCCTTGGTATCCAAAACATGCATCCGTTGAGATCAACACTGCCCAACCCATTGAATCTTAGTTAGTACTACACCAGTGTGCAGGGCAAGGGATAAAAGCTCTCTGTTTTCAACAGCTTTGTGTTCTGGACTTTAAAGACCATCCCACCATCCAGTTTCAACCAAGCAAGAAAGGAAGGGCACCTATGCAGCAGAGGCTTTGAGTACTTCCAAGAATAGCAGAAGGCTAAAAAGGAGAGCATCCCATCATTAGATTAATATCTTCTAAGTACCTACATTAGAGAAACATCCTCAGAGAAACAACCTTGTGCCCACAGAGCCATAAACCAGATGGCTGCAGTACACACGCCATAGCAGATTCCAGTTTACTGCACTGCAGGCACTGCCAATTCATGGAATTGCTGAATCAGCCTGCAAATGGATTTTGATTCAAATTGCAATAAGGCATTGCTGAATTTGAATGTTTCATCACTGCAGTCCCATAGATTTGTTGACTGTATCAGATACTCAAGTTTCTTCAAAATGCAGGGGTTAAGAAAAACACCCTCATAAGAAATAACCAGACTCAATTCTAACAGAATTTGGAAAAGAGATCCTTTTATCTCCCTTGGAAAGGCACTGAAGGATAGAAGATGGATAAACAGCATATTCTTATTATAAGGAATAAAACCCCAGGTGCCTGCCCAAAATTTTAAAGCATTAAGACAATGGTACTGTATTTGTGACCAGCCTGAAAATTCATTTTACTCCAATGCAACATATTCTGGAAGACTAACACAGACTGAAGTGAAGATATATCCTGAGGCATCGAGGTTTAATCAATAGATTTGTATTTGCTACCAGCCTGAAAATCCCTTTTATTTCAATGTAATGTTTTGTGGAAACCTCAAATGGACCTAATGAAGATGTCCTGAGAATGTTGTTTGTGTGGGTTTTTTTACTGACAGCAGCAATAAAGCTTCTGTTAGGAAAAAATCCCTGCTAAGTTCAGTACACTGAAAGTTCAGTCTTGAATTTACTGGATCTCTAAACTGTTGCTCGTTCCCCAGAAACCCTGCGTTTCTCATTCCTCAAGCAGAGCCTGTGTCCTTAAAACATATAAAAATTAAATAAGTTTTTCTATTTTCTTCTGGCCTGGTTAGAAGGATTTTAGCATGAGCATGCCAACGCAAAGAACACAGCTGCTTGTAAAAGCCTTTTAATAGATTTCTAGTACCAATAACACGTTTCTCCAGCCCAGAAATATATCCACATATTGGCCCCAAGATCATCTTAATTCCCTAGCACTATCTTCCCTTGGCCCTCTCTGTCTTAATTACCCAGCTACCACCCTCAGTTTCCTTGACATCTCTACCCCAGATATTGATACCCACCACACACACTCTCGATACCCCACTGACCCCTGGCTCACAGTCTTTGTATCTTCCCTGTTCTGATGGTGGGCAGCTCTAAAATAACCCTGTAAGTAACATTTTTGTTTGGTTTTTGCATGCTTCACGAGTTTTGATCCCAGTGTACTCTGAGCTGTTTCCTTTAAGTTTCTCTAACTCTGGACACTGAAGTACCTCGTGTTTTCATTTTGAAGGGCAATGTGCTAAGCAAACATCTGCAATCCCCTGAATCAAAACCCAAGTTCTTATCTAATGCTTTACTATCCTGAGAAAGAGAGTAATTTCCAGTTGTTACTTTTATCCCATACAAAAACGCCGACTTCTGCCATCATCACATCCCACATCCCATTTCATAAGTTTATGTAATTCCAACCAGAGTTTAGAAAACCTGCCCCCATGGTTATTCTTCATAGGCTGTTCCAAAAACTCTCTGTTCCCATCAGTGAAGCTGTCTTTTACTTCCATCTTTTATTTTCTTACAGCAAGTTTATTTTTTTCTTCTGTAAACAGTAAGCTCAAACAGACCATCTCCCTCCCTGCTGTTTATCTCCCTCTTCCCCAACATGGTTCAGGCACAAACGGGCTCAAACAAGGATTAAACCAATTCACAGAGCCATCACTGCCAGCTGTTAAACATAAGAACTACTGTTCAGAAAGGCTTTAGGCCATGGATAGCTGTAAGCAAGCGTAAGCCAGAGCCATGTGAGATCCACATGCACGTCTTACACCTCGGCCTTGGGCTCCACAACATCCCTTTAGAAATATTCTACTGAGACAGACATGACAGGACTATTCTCTAGTTTTACTTTTTTTAGGCAGCATCGTTCCCATCCCTCTCCTATTCCATGCTGCCAAGCCTCTTTTGAAAGATTAACAAACTCCTACCATCCTCTATCAAAACATTCTCATATTTTCCCCATTACCACTGAACTTTCTCCAGTACCCATCCCTGTCTGGAGTCTCCCGTCTTGAGCATGGACCACCACAGCTGTCCTCTGCAGGAATATAGTTTCTCCTAGTCATTAGCTATTTCTAAAATCTAAAATTTTCTTCTATTGTTTTCAACTTCATGACCTCTGCTCTGCACAACAGCTTTGTGCCTGTTTCCTCACTGCTGCTCCTGGTGCAAATCTGATTTTCCTCTGCTTTGTATAGCATTTTCCCCATACTGAGATACCACAACTCCATTTCAATACTGTAACATTACGGACATGCATGCCTAGATGTAAACGTCAGCAGCTGTTCATCTCAAATACTGAAAATCACCAGTTAGCAGAGGGTTCTGGTAAAATGTAGAAACAAATACAGTTATCCTCAGTCTAACCAACCCTCTTCATCAAGTTGTGTCAAAAAAATGAGAACCACATGCAACACAGCCGCTCTTCGCTTAGTCATAAAAAGGTCGCAACAGAGCCAGAGTGGCAATGATGCAGTTGCCTGAGTGCTGTAAACTGTAAAGATCACCTTGCAACCCTCAAAGACAAATCCAGAAACACTGAGCAACCGAGGAACAGAGACTTTTCAGCAGTATCAGCTGTGTCTGACAAGTAAACCATTGCAAATAGCCCCTAATTACAACTGAACTGTGCTCATATCAAAAACACAAGCATAAAAATATCCATTTGGGGTTTTAAGATAAGCCATAATAAAAAAACCATGGGTATCCGTTGCTGGATCATCCAGCCTGGTTTTCCTGAGCAGCTAGAGCCTCAGGCAGATACAAGATCTGACTGTTTATATTCCTATAATTGCTGACATGGATTTGCAATAAATCTGTTTGTATTTCACAAACTTTTCTGATTTCTTAGACATAGTCCATCAAGCTATAATGCTAAGAAAATCCAGAGAGAACAGAAACAGCCCCACATTCCTACTCAAGATTTAGCACATATGGCAGAAATTTATATTCCATTTAGACTGAGATATTTTGCTCTCAAGCAAGAACATGAATTTGAGACCAAATTAAGAAACTTCTTTTAAGCAAATAACTGGGTCCAGCCAGATGCCTAAATTAATAATTTTTCCCTCTTTATTTTTTTAATTTCTTTAATCAAATTCCTCTTAAAATTCTCCATTGTTTGTATAAGGTCTCATTTATTCTGCAAAGTTCCAGCTCTTTGAAGAGCTCTTCTCTTAAAGAAATGGCTCAGGTGCTGAACACTGCAGGAAAAAGAAAGAAACAACAAAATAGAAATTCTAGTAGAAAAATAAAATGCTGTCCATATGCTCGAACAACAACACCTCTGCTGACTCAGACCCAGGTCTACAAAGTGATTCAGCCATGAGACCTTACTGTTAAAGAGACAAAATGCCTTCCCAACCTGCATTTGGCACAGAGAATCCAAGCTAAGTCCATGGACTCTATTGTCTAAACAGGAACCCAGTGCTGCTCTTCAGAGCTTAGTGAAACAGACTAATGGTTGAAACAAGCAACCTGACAAGGACACCAGCACAGAAGAGGCAGAAGAAAGTCAGAGTATCCAGCCTAGTACCTTGTTTACACACTGCCTCCCTTCCAAGCAGGCTATGTCAGCAAACATACCATTTGAACTGATACAAGAGAAATTAGAAGTTACATGGGTTATAACAAAGAGTGAAAAGTCAAGAATTAAGCCTTCTTTTAAAGCACACCAAGCACAATGCTGTAAAGAAGTTCTTCTGTGTCAGTGCAGCTGCCTATGTCCACAGGGCAGTGGGGGTAGGTTTAGCCCAATGACACCTCCACAGAAAATACAGTCATTTAAACAAATGCATCTTCTCTTATCACTGAGGAATCACTTATACACTTAGAAAAGCTCTGGTCACACTTTTGGAACAGCTGCACTCCACTGGACACTACTCACTCTGTAAGCAGTCAGCGTTGAGCAAGTCTTGGCACTTCTCATGGCACTTGACTCCACATTCTCCACAGCGCATTCCCTGCCGTGCAATACCCCACAGCAGCCCCTCACATTCGTAGCAGTAGGTAGGGGTTGTGGCTGTCCACACTTCAAAGTTATGCGGGGTTGTACATGAGATGGGGTAAATTAAGGCTTGCAAGGTCTTCTTATAGACATGAGATTTCTGAAAGGCAAGGGCACACATTAAACAACACCCAGGAAGGTTACTGAACCTATTTTTGCTGGTTAATACAGGAGCTATAAGGGGAAAGGCATGAGCAGTGCAACAAATCTACACATTTGAGGTAATCAAATTTATCAAACTTCTACAAGGAGGAGCAGAGGACACAAAGATGTTTGTCCAGGCATATAAAAAAGTGTGGGAAATAGAAGAAAAAAGTTAATGTTTGTGGATAAGGAATATTTTGCATAAAGTAAGTTTCACACGCTGTCCCCCATGGTAGATACTGCATAATGAAACAGTAAGTTTACATTTTTCAGGATCATATTGAGACAGTAAATGTTACTTTTCTGTACCACACAATGTCTGGTTTCTTTAAACAAATGACACAAGAATTTTTGCATCTATATCTTTAGACATCTGTGAAGCTGACTCTGCGTCCCAGAGAGCCACATTCTCTCAATTTGACTACTAAAAGTTAACAGGAGCCAAGCCACTCTTCCACTTACCAGCTCTTCATCTTTGAGAGATGTTCTAGTGGCCATTGCTGAGGTAATTCCGGCTTTCCGGGACTGAACCAGTGACTAAGAAGGAAGAAAGTTTATTATTCACTATGAGTATTCAGAAGTGCACTGGCAAAACCTGCCCAGAAATGTGACCAAAGGGACTCTGTCACACCAGACACCAAACCATCAGTCTATTACATTTAAGCTGGTTTCTTAAATGACATCTCACATCCCAGAAGAGTCAAATGCATACTCTGAAAGGTCTCCAACTTGCTCCCATCTGCCCACAACCATTCACACTCAGGCAGGACTTTTTCTCTGGTAAGAACTGTTAATGAAACCTGGGTTCACATGTCCACTTCTGTGTTCTGGTAGCAATGGTAGCTCTGTTATTGCCTAAGGTCACTGCATGGGGCTCACTCTTCTATATCTAACTTTGCTCACATCCAAAAGGAGATTATTTCATCAGTTTTACAACATGCACAACACCCCCAACCATGATGCTGAAAGTTTTACAAATATACAGGGTAATAACAGAACAGAGTGGGCTGGGAGCATAGGCTGAATGTGCTGGTGTATCACATTCATTGGCCATCACTGAACACAATGAACAGCATTTTCCCCTCAAAACTGCCTCCTTCACATCATGCCAACACGAAGTTCTGCAGCCCTGGACAGCCCAGGGCAATGCCTTTGCAACACCTCACACTGGCGTACAGAGGATTTCTTCAGCAAGCCACTCCAGTTTGATGAAAGCAGAGAAGGAAATTCAAGCTAGCAACATCTGCTTTGAAATCATCTAACCCTATCAGAAACCTCTGTTTATGCTCTGCTTTATGCTTTTTGAAGACAGACAGCAAAAGTTCATTTGATCAGTGATGGGCAGAACGGAGTACTAAGATATACATGCACTGCAAAACTGCAAGTACAAAATAAAAAGCAAAGAAATGCAGGGAAAATAAGGTAGAACGACTTTTGTTTTGGTGAAGACTTGGTGGACAGTTTTTAGCTCCACTTACCATGGCCTGTGGAGAGAGAGAATGAAAGCATACAAAGGAAGTAACACAAGTTAATGCCATTATTGCAAAGATTTAAGACACAACCAGTTGGTAAGACACGTATTAATTTTCCCATGCGTAAGCTGGCAGAAAGATTTGCATGCACCTTTCCACACGAACTACAGGATACAGCAACAATGGTCTTTGAGCTGTTACAGCATTTCTCCCGTATATGAAATTGCTACTTGTACTGCACACAGCCAACAGAAAACCATTTGTCCCTCAGAAGCCTTATTTCACCGCATCACATAAGCAGATGAAACTTGTCCTCATTACTCGCTTGGTTCTTTTGCTTCGTCAGTGCAGAAGCCTACTGGCAATACTGCAAATAGCTTTAAAAATTCAAGCACATATGCTCGTTTATCTATCCTCTGAAATTCCAACCTTCTGGAAGGTTGACAAACCTCACACGGACATCAGAAATTTCCCTCAAGTATGTGATTTTTAGGAAAACATTTTAAAATAGTGCAGCCCTAAAAATAATCAAATATTATGTGTAAAATAAAAAGAACATGAAAAAAATATCTTATTTCTGCCAAATGAATGAAACTGTCTACAAAACCATAGCTTGTTCTGAGTTTTTTCCAAGACCAACTTCTAAGTCTTTAATGTAAGAATTAATTTAACAAAACAGGAAGCGTTCAGCTTCTTAAGTGACAATGAATGTTACCATATGTCAAAATCGGTTGTGTGGCTAAACAAAAACAAATCTCTTACCAGATCACTGACAAGTGGAATTGGCTTTTTTTTGCGCAGATCGGGCATGCTATCAATGCCATAGAGACCACCTGCAGGCCTGGAAATTCAGGAGAAGAAAAAAAAGATTAAAATTCTCACCAGCAGTGAGAGACAGTAAAGAGACGACAAAAAAGCCTCCTTGATAGTATCACAGTCGATGAGCACAGGAAGAATCAGTTAACTGCAAATGCAATCTGAAAATAAACCAAGCCTGTTAACACACTTGAAAAAGTTTCCTATTTTCAGTTCTGAGGCCTGAGCTAGGTCAGAGTAGACTGAGGATGTGCTTGCAGAGCACCAGTGCTTCAGAGCTACAGATCTGGCAAAAATACTCACCCAAGGGCAGAACCAGAGCTCCCTGGCAGTAATTCACATGCAGCTTAGTCTGTGGTAACTAAGCTGCACACCTCTGCTTTCAAAAGAATGTTTTGTTCCTTAATGAGAGCTCAGTTTATGGTTTACTCCTGCCATTGAGTGCCATGGCAGGAAAAGACTTTGGTTAATTTGAAAACATCCTGTCTCCAAGTCTTTCTCCATCCCTTTTCTTTCCATTCAATCAATTTAGGGTTCTGGGGTGAGGAACAAGATGCTCTACTGGAGTAACTAAAACAAACCAGAAGATAACACTTAAGAAAGTGTAAAGTTAAGAATAAAATAATTGTTTATCTTCTTCACACACCACAATCCAGATGCTCCTGCCTGGTGGTGGTGGTTGGGAAGGAAGCATGTTAAAGTGATAAGGCCAGAGTGGCAGGATGCTGCTACCCATCGTCTAATTCTAGGCTTAGTCCTGGCCTTTGAGGCCCACATAATTATTAGGAAAAGCCTCACATTTGAGGAGAAAATAGATTATTTCTATAAAAGGGACCATTTGTGGTGCTCAAGCCATGCAGACCTCTTCACAGAAAAGCTGCCATTTGCTGGTGGTAGTTGTGGTGGAGCAAAAGGGCCATTATCATAAAATCATAGATTCACAGAATAGTTAGAGTTGGAAAGGACCTTAAGATCATCTAGTTCCAACCCCCAGCAACACTCAGAACCTGCTAAAATAAAACACTATAACCTTCCGATGTGACCAAGCTGGATAACTGTATCTGGATCCTGCTGTTCACTGCTAACACCACACGGATGTAAGCCTATGCTTGAAGACCCCCCAGTAAATCACAAAACACTAGCTTGGAAGGGACCTCAGGGATCATCTTGTCCAATGTTTCCAGGCAAAGCATGACCTAGACTAGATGTCCCAGCACTCTGTCCAACCACACCTTAAAAGTCTTCAACGTTGGGGAATCCACCACTTCCCTAGGGAAACTGTTCCAGTGGTTGATAGTTCTCATTGGGAAAACTTTTCCTCTTGTGTCCAGTTGTAATCTCCCCAGGATTAACTTCCCATCTCCACATTCCTTTCATGCATTCCTACCACTAAGAATATGGTTCCCAAGGCCTTTTTCTTGGCTACAGAGACTGTAAAGGAACCTTCATGCCTCTCTTATCCTTACCCACTCGTTTTCACCCCATACCATGCTGGCTTACGCCTTTTTGCATCTGTGTGGTAAACTGGCTCTTTTAACCAGCATATTCTGCTGATTTGGTACACCACACTCAACTACATGCTTTAGGACACCACAACTACAGGAAGGAGGAGAGCTAGAATGGTAAAGAGACTTTCTTGTAGGAGGGTGACATGTCAGAGCCTTAGCTGAGCTGAGAGCTGCTGCTGGCTGAAGCCTGGTGGGAAGGTGAGCAGTCATACCTAACCGCATGAACAGTGTCAGCTCTGCGTGCACCATGAGTCACATCTGCACTGTGCTCGCCTCTCCATGCTCCTACATGGTGAACACAAACCTCCCTCAGGCAGCTGACACAGCTGGGGATGGAAGGCAAACTCGGACTTAAGAAAGGTGGAGATTTACAGCAGTTAATTACAACTATTGGAATCTTTGGGCAAGAATGAGAGCAGTTTTCCAACACTGGAAATCCTCACAGCAAGGCCACATGGTATTTTTAATAAAGGCCACTCTCATTTCCAATAAAGAACTGCAATAACCCCTTCTGATTTATTATAGAAAGCATAAGCAAGATACAAAGGGAGAGTCTGTACGCTGAAAAGATGCAACAAGATGGTCACAAGCAAAAATATGGCTCCCGACAGAAGTCAATGGCACACCTGGGAATTTACATTTTGTTTCCAATGACTTTTTTTGGTTTATCCTAATTCAGTTGAAAGGAGCCTGTGATACTCTGACATTTCTAAGGAAAGGAAAACATATAAATTGCACAGTCTACAAATTAAAGATGAGCCTGAACAAGTTATTGTGCTTGAGAAACATGTCTAGTTAGATGTCTGGCTTGTTGCAAAATACTTCAGATAGACTGAGTTTTATGATAAAACCAGTTGTAAGCCAGACTGTTAGAGAACGAACATATTTGAAAGGTGCTTGTTTTTTCACCTACTGTATCCTAGTACCCATGTAGTTATACACTAAGATGACCTGCTTTTAGCTTCTTAATATCAAAATCAAAAAGAATTCTAAGCAACAGTTCTTAATATTCAAATTTATTCAAAATAATATTATACACTATATATAATATTCAAAATTATTCAGCCTATGCTTTCAGCTACCTCAGTCTCTTTATTCAAACACAAATTCTACTTCACTTAACAAAACTGGGAGTGTTTGCATAGACAGAAGTACTGACAGTGCCTCAAATATACACACTGGAGCTTTATACGTTAATAGGGTAACTCTCCTCTGCAATGCATGTAATATTTATAGCATTATTATGGAGTGCTGTATTGAAGAGTGAATAGCATTTCTGTAAGAAAAGATGATCTGCCCTAGTAAATAAAATATACAGATATGAGATACTACATCCAGATACTGATCAATAATACCAACAGTACTTGGTTTTGAGGCTACCTCTCCAAAGCCAGCACCTATAGACAGGGAACTACTGTTGCATTATGCCAGAAGTGAAAACAGCTTGAAGCATGTATTCGTCTTTTAATACAAGTTATATCATATAGATGCTTCCATTAAATTTTTAAAATTCAAGGAAGCAAAGGTGGTTTGCAATGACAGAAGATGATTGCTTCGTTCAAAGGATACCCTAATCTGCATATGAAAGAGAACACCAAACGTAAATGCTTTAATGTACTTTGTGGCTAATAAACCACAACGTAGCTAATGGTGCAATTAAAGGTTCGCCACCCACAACCACCTCCTCTGTAAACCCCCTGCATGCGCTGATACAGCAAATAAGCTGAGCTTTTGTCAAAACTACATTAGCCAGACTGTTTTATCTCATATTGAAAGAGAAAATTACCAGACTAGAGCAAACTCGCCTTGAACTGACAAAACACATCTTTAAGTATTTCAGGACTGCACGTGTATTCATCTTTCAGGCTGGGAGATCATTCTGTGTGCGTGAACCAATAAACTCAGTACATTGTCTCCTCGTTAAAGCAGGAGAAGGTGCTGCTGATAGTTAGAATAAATCACTTTCTTCTGCCCCTGCTAATTGCCAGTTCTCCAGGAACCTGCTCACTGAAGTCCCAGGCTCCTTAGGAAAGCATGGGGTTGCTAGGCAGCTCCAAGCATCCGCAGGTGTGGAGGATGCTTAGTGGGAATACCAACATCTCATAGAACAATGACTCCAAAACCAGACAGCCGTATAATGAAGCCTCAGATTTAACTTTGCATTTTATTAAGGAAGCTACCTTCAATAGTTTGAGAATTAACTTACGCATGTAGCAAGCCAACCTCTTGCTGTGATTTCAGGGCAAATCTGCTGCTACATCAGCTCCTAATGAGTGCACCACCACCAAAGCGTATCACCCTCATCACGTATAATGCACATAACCTAGCAGCCTGTACAGTGTGTCACGGTCTTTTTTTTTCCAGAGGGGATTCTAGGGAAGGCAGCTCCCACGCTGGCACCTATTATGCAGAGTGTCATGGTGAAATTACAATCAGAATTTGTCTGCTTCATCTGCTGAGAGTAGCATGTTGCAGAGAGAACACGCGGCCTCTCACTGTCACCTGTGCAAAAGAGGCATGATGATCACTGCAATGATTTCCAGACTTACCAATGTTTTGAATACTACAATGACCACATAAATCACTGCAAAGACAGAAGACTTCCCCAAAGCTACTTTTTTCTTCTAGAAAGGCACAGCAATCTTTCTGAGCTACTCTCTCCCTTCCCTGGTGCCAACAGTGACTGACTCAGGAAAAGGGATTTTATCCAGACCACCCTGGGGTGCTCAATAAGAATGTTTAATACTGTGCATAAGCACTTGCCACCATCAGGTTTCATATTATACATAACATGTTCTTAAACAGATCTCTTCAAGAGCTGCGCAGCCCACCTCCAGCTGTTTAAGAGGAGACTGAAATACAGCAGCAGCCTGACCCTAAGTGAGGCGTGGCCACTTGATTAATCCTTAAAACAGCCATTAAAAACATCAGATTTTTTTATTTAGATTGAACTGGAGACCTCAAATTACACTGTACTTATAAACACAGGGAAACAAGGTCCCAAAATACCACTTACCCTCCTTTGAGCCACGGTGGTTTTGACGGATCAGCCTCATCTTGACCCTTAAATGGGGGAAAAGAACAATATGAAATTAGTTTCTAAAAACGCCAAGAAATGTATGCAGATCATATTCCGAGGAGAGGATAACAGACCACGCTGCATGCAGGCAAATGCATACAGAAACCTATTTAAGCACCTCTGATGACCAACATACCAGGGTAAGTCATACAGACACAGACAGGCTATGCAATTTGACTGAACACCTAAACTGGAACCTGAAGAGCCTGTTCAGTGCACTTCTTCTTTCAAAAGACCAACTGTTGGCTTTTTATTTCCAACTAAACAAAACCATGAGCTATTGGAGAGCTCCTCCACTCATGCGAACATGGTCACCACCGAGGTGAACATGGTCATAATGAAGCTGTTATGAATTAAAAGCAACTTTATGAAATGCACAAATGACTGATCAACATGAAACTTTGTACAGACACTGGTGAGCTTTGCTCATGCTCAAATGCAAAGACTCGTCAGCCCCTAAGCAGGAAGGTCCCACTGCAGCTCCACACATCCATATGCAAGTATTTAATTTTCCAAGAGGTGTAAGGGCCGCCACTTGCAAGACGATTGCAGGTGAACTGGGATCTCACACTATAACAGAAAACACCACAGTCTGCAATTCTGAGGATGAATATTTATGAATTTAAGCCATGTTCTTACTTTTGTATTTGTAACATTATTATGTTCGTTTGTTTACAGAATGATGTTCTGTTTCTTTGAGAATCTTCAGGGCTGAGAAGTGCCTAAACAACTGCAAAATGCCTTAAGGAAACAAAAGATTTTGAGTAAGGGAAAGATAGGTTTATAGGTTTACCTATAACCAGAAACCTCTTTGCTCCAGCTTACAATTCACAAATTCTCCTGCTCTCCCTGAAATAAAAGCTGTTTTCAAACAGGACTAAGCAAGACACACTGCTAATAGCTAATACCCCGACCTCAGATAATCATGCCTGCCAACAGTATGAAAAGACTGCAAGTTGTATACAGTGGAAAACAAAGTACTTTATAACTTCAGAATTGTAACAAAAGAAAGGGGTATGGGTCAGGAAATAGGCTCCAGCTTTATGCCAGATAAAAGAACGAAAAAAAAGCATCTATTTGATGCCTCAATTTGTACAGAAGCAAAAGTCCAAACTTTTAATTTGTTAGTTCCAAAACTCCAGGCCTGGGCAGATCTGAAGACTACATAGTTTTTATTACTCTAAACAGGTTTGAACAACTTGACATTATCCATAATTGCATGGACACCCCAGCTTTTCTACATTATCATGCAGGAGGAGCCTAGACCCATGGTCCAACACAGCCAGAGCAGCACACCAGGGCTAGGCTCTACCCATCTCCATTCCAAGCTGTGCTTCCAAAACCCCTTAGCCTGAAGCCTGCATTTATCCCAGAGGAATCTGAATCAACTGCGAGTCAAAAGACTTTGTGAAATGCAACCAGATCCTTCAGAGCACACAAGGAAGGACTTTCACCTTCGAACACTTGGAAGAGCTGTGGCTAGAAAGCAAACCTAAATGGAACAACGTTTTATACTGGACTGAGGTTAAATCCAGTCAGTTCAACTGTACTGAATGACAGAGAATGACAAATACAAACGTGGCAACATTTGCTGGCAGAAGCAATTAGTGTGACAGGGTTTTCAATCAGTTTATCTGAGAAACTCAAAGTACAAGTGACCAATATTTGAGACATAAAAGTACTACAAATATCATGGGCAACACTGAAGCCTGGAGACCACAAGAGCATCAGAAGACCTGTTCAAGGGAAGAAGATCCAGGGAGAGTTGTTTACTTAATTAAGCAATAACCATTTCCTACAGGCAACCATGAGTCAATGGAGAACAGCTGGGAGTGTGGATGAAAGGAAGAGCAGAAAACATTATCAGGAAACAAACCTCCATCATCTCCCAGATTTTGAGACATGCCAAGTACAAATTGTTGACAGTCCAGGTAAAGTGTACTTGTTCTCATTTACTTTTAATTACTTTTGCCAAGCCTTTTATACCTACAAATAAAAACAAGAGAAGAGAAAGAGCTTCTCTAGGGTGCAACCGCACAAACCAAAAGAGCGAGCTTTCAGTAAGTGACAGTATTGATGCAGGGGCAAGGAGGTGATGGTTGTGTGTAAACAGGAGTTATCACCTGCTGAAAGTAAAGAGGTAATTTGCTCCAGGCAGCATCCTCCCTGAGAAAATGCCAAGAGAAGCAGCACCTGACTTCCATCAAAAGAGGGCTGATGCTTTGAGACTATAGAAAAGCCAATGCAGCACCCACAGTTAAGGTGTGGGGGAAGGAGGGAAATGTGATCTAGACTAGTGTAGGCTCATTATTGACTTCAGCAGCTTGAAAGTCTTCAGAACAAACACGAAGGAAAGAATTAACATGGAGGCAATTGGAAAACAGGAAAAAAATGCAACACATGGCACACCACTTTTGAAAACATGGGGGTTTTGTTCAACAAAGAAACTATTTTTCTTTACACTGTAAAATGAATTATCAACTGAATTCTCATTTCAACAAAAAACTTTTGATGCAATGCCATGTGACGTTAATAAGGCCGGATAAGCCGAGAAGGAGTGGGGAGCTTTAGGGTGGATAAACAAGTAACTGTAACTGAGCCAGCCACGGACAACGCAATGAGGATGCTAGTGGGAGTAAGCAGGATCTGCTGATAAAATCTGCTGATGACAAACACAGGAGAATTATTGATACAGAACTCAGATGGTGAGTGGAAAGAACTGATGGCAGCAAAGACTGCAACAACAGAGGATTAAACATGGTAGAAATGGCAAGGTCAAAGCCCTAAAGCCTGCCGTGAATTTGACCACACAGGAGGTGCTCCTCAGTGGAGAAGCACATGACAACAGACTTTACTTCTAGTCATCACACTGGCAACGAGCCACTAAGACAATCTGTGAGCCATTTAAGGAGAAAACATAATCCATAGAGCATGTCCAGTGGAATGTCTCTGTAAAAGTAAACCCATAAATGCCTCTGTACTGTGCTGGGAAGGCTCCTTCAGAAAGGTATATACAATCTTTTTATTCTATATCAAGGTAAAAAGAATTTACAAAGGAAAATGGCAAAGCAGTATGACGATTTAAACACAATATTATAGGAGGAGACCAGGACAGCTTACGCCAACAAAAGGCACCTTTTCCTGTGCTTATTCAATAGACATATTGTATGGACGAACTGCAGCTAAACATAAACAGAGGATGAAAATTTGAAGGTGTCTCACCATGATAGTCCAGACAGCCTTTCAAAAGGAGAAGGAGACACCACACCTAACCGGTTTTAATGAAGGAAGTTGGGCAGTTTATATATGACGTAGTGGCAGAGGGGTGGCAGTCACCAAGAAGTCCTATGCAGGTCCTTGTTGCACCAACTCATGTAGTCAAAGAACCAGAGGCTGAATTACCTATGAGTGTTGGCATGAGTGTTAACAGGGTTCAGACACCTCTGGGAGTGCCAGTTAAACAAAACAATCCATAGTTTACACCACTGTTGTGGGTAGGAACACTCCATGTATCCCTACTCCTTTAAAAAAGGCAAATGGCAATGCTGTTCAGTGGATTTTCTGCAGCTCAGGAGCTCCCCACTTTCTGAAAGCAGGACCCAGGAGGGCTCCCGTAGGTGCTCTGGATCTTGTCATCAGCCATGGATCTGTTTAAGTTCAGCCCCTGATGAGAGCATGGCTTGCTCAGGGCCTGGGCAAGCGAACAACAGGCAGATGAGAACACCACTGGAACAACTGTGAAAGTAGACACATTGAACACTTGGACATCCCCATGCTGCCTGTCACAGAAAGCATTTTGCTGGCTTATGCTTTACTTCTCTGAACAGATCTGTCACTTGATCACTTAATTTTCATCTTAATTTTTAGTAAGTAAGCACATAAAGCAGCACTGATAAGATGGAGAAGCAAACATGTAAACAAAATAGCCCACCACATCTCTATTCAATTTTGTTTTATTTCTGATGCTGATGGACGACAGTTTTACACCTACTGTCCAACAAGTATCTTCAGCTGGCAAAGTGCCTGTTACCGTAGTAATGCAGTATATTCACTCACAGTAAAGCATGCTGCAGTGAGTGGCTGAAAGGCCTTTTCCATGTAATTAAAGTTTCTTCTCAGGCAAGAAACAGTTAGCAAAATAACACTTGTGACAAAATAGCAAAGATTAATACCCTGGATTAAACACATCAACAGACATGATCATTTAAGGCACATTATTCAATGATAGAGAAGGCAATGTTTGATGAAGCCTGAAAATGAAACAAACAGGAGTTTTCACTTAGTTGGGAAAAGCAGCAGCTAGGCTTAAAAGTAACTTCAGAAATTATTTAACCAAGCTGCAATTCACAAATGTCACAGTTCATCTCATACACATGATGCTTTAATGGACAGAACAATCACATACTTCTGTAGAGGAGGAATTCCATAAGATGGACAGAGGCATAAAATAAATAAATGAATAAATAAATCACCAAGTCTGGAGCAGCACAAGAATAAGGAAGAACATCCTCAGCTCTCTTAGCCCTCTCCACATAAATCCATCCCTCCGCATAAAAGGCTTTCTCACAATGTAACTTTCCATCACATTTAAGTACTGTGTCGAGCACATTACCCTCTTAGATAAAATACAGATGTAAACCATGGAAAGATGATTTGCTTAAACAGATAACAAAATACTAATAATGATTTTTTATTTGTTTTGAAAATCATCCCAGCTTGTTTTCAGATACCATGCTTCATTATTAAACCTCAAGGCCTCAATTTAGCTATAGATTAATCTGAATCAGGCTAAAACAAGGAGCATCTGTTTCACTGTCTAAATTAAACTTCTGGTCATGCCTAATTAGAACATTTCTTCAGGGTTATTAGCAGAATTAGTCTGAACTAAATCATCCCAATTACACTAGTCAGACTTGTAGCTCAATGTCTTCATTGACCAACTACACTATGTTTTACATGGAATCCAGGGCTGCAACAAGCCAAGGGATTATTTGAAATTCATTCTACATTCCATATTCTGCAAGAAAGTCAATTTAGATAATTACTGAAGAGCCCCACAGGAAGCTCCTTCCACCTGATACATCTTCCAGTACCAATTTTCCAGCTGCCAGATGAGCAGCTGAAAGGAGGCTGTGGTGTTTTTGCACTGAAGCCAGAAGAGGACAGAACTTGACGCCAATATTTGACACCAGGTATCTCTGCATGCCTGAAAAAGCACTAAGGGACAGACATTTACCGGTAAGAATGAAACAAAACTGCTGATACATGAGCCAATAAAGCTTAGAAATGCAAATTCATCGAACTCAAAGGATGAGATCTGCATGGAGGCCAGAAGCCATGCAACGTTCAGCATACTCCAGGAAGCTGATCTGGGCTGATTCATACAACTAAGGGAGAGGCAGAAGCACTGCAGGCACTGAACCCACATAGCATAGATTCAAAAAAATACAACAGCTGACAACCTAAGAGCCAGAAACTTCTCTATATGAGGTACAGTTGCAAACACAAAACAGGATGTTACACAGCAGTCAACAAAACAATTCTGTGTATCCTCTTAGGAGAGTTACCTGTTGTCCACAGAGTGATAAGCAGAGAGTCAGCCACCCCCTGAGTGGAGAGGTAATAGCTGTAGATACTAAAGGAAAAGTCCTGCCCTTTCTGTGGGGCACACAGCCCTGCTCAAAGCAAGGAGCAGCCTGTAGCTAGCTAAAAAGGCAAAGGATCTGCAGCAGACAGCTCCCAGCATCCACAGTCCTGCTTAATCTCAGAGTGGTACTTTTTACCGTAATTGCTGTAAATGTGCAAACCAGACAGACAGAGATGGAATGAAGTAATACAGCTGACGGAAAATGAGGAAATACTTGGTTTAAACACTATTCATAAAAAGGACGACTAGAAAGATAAACAGCTTGTACTCTGCTAACACGGTGCCTGGGCACATTACGCACACCCCACAGAGCACCGAACGGAGATCACTTCAAGCATTCTTGTTTTCCTCTTTGTACAAGGTATTAAGCACTGAACAGACTCTTAATGCATACACGGTGTTAGCGATTCCTCAACAACCATAACATGCTAAACTGAATCTCAGCGCCTCAGTGGGAACAACTAGCTGCATGAAGACAAGGCATGCACACACAGGCATTTCAGGAAGAGAGGCTGGTTACAAGGGACAACACGTACAACCTGGAGCTCTCCTCTACCTCCTTCTGTGAAGAAAAAAGAGAAGGAGAGGAAAAAAAGTTAATAGACCAGATTTCTGCCATGAGCTCTGTAAAATGATTTCAGAAAGTAGGGTAAACATACGCCTCAAGTTGATACAACACTTGTGCAGCGGAGAGTTTTCCCATGTGCTTCCTGGGAGGTACACCAGTTAGTTAATCTCTAGCAACTAATCTCAAGTTAAACTAATCAAATTTTATCCATAACTGCACATGCATTTAGAATATATACTTTTGAGAGATGCTTTTTAGAGTCACAGTTCCTGTTCTATAAACTCAAGTAATCTTCATACAGAATTAGAGCTGCTATTTACCATACTGTAAAGAGAACCTGTCTTTATTACAGAGAGGAACAGATCTTTTCCCTTCTTGCCTCCCTGACTGCATCCACTGCCTGCATCTTAAGCATCCCCTCTCCTTCCCTCTTCGCCCCCTGTACATTTTACCCATTATGAGGAAACTGGTAGCTCCCACAGAACACATTTTGCTTTTGCAGATACCATAATGCAGAGAAATACTTTCTGGGTTTATAAATCTAGGCAATCCTCCTCTGAGAAAAAGGAAAAAAAAAAAAGAAATAAAAATCCAGAAGCCTCCTACACTAAATCTCATGTTTATGGATAGGCAATTTCATGGCTAGTAAAGTTATATGAGAGTCATACTCAAAACTTCCGGTACAGGCGCGATATTTTTTAAGTAAGTCTTCCAATCAGATAATTCTATATCTGCATAGGAGAATCATACTACTCATTTGCATATGAAAGATGGAGGGGAAGGAATATCTTCATGGCAACAAGGGCCACTCAAATTGGTTTAAAAGCAAAAATAGTTTTTGAAGTTACTGTCTGTATGGGTGTAATTACACACATGCAATCACTAAGACAGGAAAATAGAGCAGCTATTTTGACTCAATCACTGAGGAGAAGTCAAATCACTTCAGCAAATGAAGTGCTGGATTGTAGCTAAAATAAAACCCCTACTTTCCAACTTAAGACATGCCTGCGTGGATGCTCATCAGGGAGGAAAGCCTCCGGACTGCCCTGTGGGCCTCTCCTTCATGAGCTAATGGGGGAGAAAACGCAAGCGGAAGGATGTTGCCATGCTCTGCGCAACAGCCGGTGCTGCAGGAGTGCCGTGATTTGACAGTCAGCTCCGCACAGACCTGCCAACCTGGAGAAGCTGAGCAAATCTGGGGTCCATCCCAGACTCTGATGGGAACATGCTTTTTTGGGCGCTGTCATGTCTGTCTGTTCCCCTCTGAAGTCACCTTCCGTACAATCCCCCCGCCCATCCCATTCTGTTCGGCAAAACCTCACCCGGGCAGACCTATTTCCACTGGTTTTGTCCTTCTCACCCCAAATCCTTCAAACCCCATCTCTCCTGAGGTGGTCCCTGGGGTTGTTTCAGCTTGTCCCAGGCAGATACAGACTTCCGTCATTCCTGTGTTTGTATTTGAACCAGATTCCTTCCTGATGTCTCCTGTGAAGTCTCACAGAGCAGGAGATGCAGAAGACCTGGACTTGTGTCCCCTCTCAGGTCTGCCATGGCTCTCAGTCATGCCGAGCAGGGAAAACCCTGCTTTAGCCCCCGGCTGGAAAACACTGAGGACAGATGGAGTCTCTGGCAGCACAACAGCTCAACTGTAGCAAGCTACCAGTGAGCATATGCAAACTACACATTTTTCAAAAGCTTATTCACTTGGCTCATTTGGGGTTGATTTTCCACAGAAAAAAATCCTTGACACAGACTACCACTGCCAAATTTTAAGGCCTGAGGGCACTAGAGTTTCCGAAATATAGGTCAAACTTATTTTCATAGAAACAGAAAGCAGTAAATCTTGCATTACACTCATTTTTTTTTCAAAGAAAATAAAAAAAGAGGATTATTTTGGCATAAATTCCATGCATGTCTTTTATTTCTGAGCCCCTTCATTTTAAAGCTGTTAGGGACAGTTTCAGGCCAAATACAAGGTTTGGTAAAGCTCTGAGCAACTGCAGACACAGATGTAAAATCTTCAGATTATCTTTCATTAAAGCAGGTGTGCTCACAGAACCATCAGTGGTGACTAATTCAGTTATACAGGCCGACTGCAGAATTATTTCACCATTCCACTTTTGAGTAGTCAAATAACATCTGCAAAAATCTCTGTCATTTCAGGGCTTCTTTTAAACGTACACAAAATCCAACTGTCTTCAACTTCACTTATGCTGGGGACTTTATTTCCCCTTTTTCTTGGATTAAAACTTTAAAAACTTGCTTAGATTTTCAGCAGATATTTTAGTTTTTCCCTTTGGACTTCAAATTAAACACAATTACTTATAAGCATCTGCCAAGTTCTTAATTGTTCTGATAATTTGCATCTGTGTACAGCTATAAATAATTTAAACTTTTATGATAGCGCATCCTATCTCTGATTCACCAAAATACACAGATTTACCAACACCTTCAAAGTTATCATCCATTCTTTCGCTGCAGACTGCTGCCAAACACACTTAATAAAATACCTTGAACTGAACTTTCAAGTGGGTGTGAGTAACAACAGTGATCATTCAGGCTCAGAAGCAAAAAGCCAGTAGGCAGAACTGAGTTTTCAATGGACCTGACCCAGAAGCTTAACATCCTATTAAGAACAAATACATATTTTAAAGAAGGTTATATATATACTCATCTGCAGCTGAGAAAAAAAAAGCAAAACCAACAACCTTCCCTTGCATGGAGCATGATCTTTTTCCCAAAGGAAGAATATAAAAGCTTGGCTCAAACTTACTTTGAGTACAGTGAAGAAGCACATAAAACTGTTGCTTCCCTTTCTCAGAAATGCATGCCAAAACAAGCCTATTTCAATTTGAATGAGTACCCGATTAATTTTGCCCTGCTCTACAGCCCTTTGCAATACTGTCTTCCCCTTCTCTTGCTCTCGCTACAGCTTAGTGGTTATTCGCCTGCTGGATCCTTTTCCACTCACTCATCCTTCATGAGCACTGCTGTGTTGATTGTATCCCTTAACCTCTGCTCGGGACAGGCATGCTCTTCCCAGCTCGCCTGCCTTGCTTTGGTGGTCTGAGCTGCTTTGCTTCCTGACAGCTCCTCCAGGCTTTTTTTTTCCCCAGGTTCTCTCATTTCTTATCCCTTAACCAGTGTTTTCCACTGCCCTTGACTCCCTTAGACTTCTGCTGTCTCTCAGAGCACATTTCTTACATTGTGATTTCATCCCGTACTTACTGTTGGAACTTCAGTTGTCATATTTAACATACAGATACAACTTCACATTGGTGTCACACAAGCATCAATCAACTCTTTGTCACATCACTGCAGGATATTCAGGAGGACTGAACCAGGGAGACTCAGCAATGCCAATCCACCCTGCAGCCAGCTCTAGGGTACTAGATCCAGCAGTGATCCTCCTCCTCCTCCTTTTCAACTGTTCTGGCTACTTCTCGCCTTGTGAACATGCCTGTATTGCTCAAACTCTGCTGAGATGAGCAGCCTCCTCTCACATTCAGAAATAGGTTATTTCAGTGTTTCTGCTGCACTGTGGCAAATGCTAACCCACTGTGCATTTCCTCAGGTCCTAAAATTAGGACTTATGTCCAGGACTTAAGCACTATGCAAACACTGCCTAAAACCAGGGAAAGAATTAACAGAAAGTAAAAATAGCTTTCCGATTTTCTTTTTCGTTTTTTTTTTAAGGCATATACTAGCCATGTTTTAGTAATCTAAACATTCCCTTCAAACTCAAAAATACATATGTGTCTGTGCCAAGCCTGCTAACAAATCCTCGTGTTTCCCTCATTAACAACCTATTGTTTGAATCAACTTCCGTTCTAAGGACCTCATACAAAGTTAAGAAAGCAAAGAGCTGATTACAAGCTTTATGATCTGCATAACTGAGAAGGTCACTGGTACAGAAGTCAAATATAGATTGACAGATTGTTTCTTCACATCAAAAGCACAGTTGCTGGAAAAGACACTTGGAATGAGACAACTCTTTCAGAGAGAAAAAGAGCACTCTGATTATTCTGACTAGCTTTCATGATTGCAGGGAGAAAAGTGCAAGTATTTAATACAAGGAGGTTCACAATAACGATGTAAAGATTTCAAGCTGTAGTTCCAATATTTTCCACTCTTAAAACAAAGCCTTTTCCCTTTACTGTGCAGCAATTTGGATATGACACCAAGGAAGTTTGGAGAGGGAGAGGGCAGATGGACCTACACTTCAAGGTTAGGTTTCATTTTACCAAATCAAGGCCTATCAAACATGGTTCATCAAAACATGTCAGTCACTTCTACCTCCCACATCCTCATGAATGGGTTAACCAGCACTCTTTTATGGCTGGATAAGCCCACATCTGCTGCGGTCAAACACTTCAGTACCTATGCTGGCAGCAAGGGATATAGCTCCACTGAAATGGAAGATTTCTCATCTCATGGACAAGTTATAGAAACAATACAAAAACACAGGTGTCAACTTCTTTATTTTTGTTCTTAAAGGTCTCTATTAGGTTGACATCTAGCAGTGATGAAACATTGAGAACTCCCACTTCGTGATGGAGCCAGTTGAAGTCTGGATCCACTCAGCTCTCAAAACTGCAAGTCTGGCTACTTATAGCTCAGAGGCACACTTTGTTATCACATGTCTTAACTATTATATTTAACAAGAAACTAAGTCACGAATTATGACGAAAAAACTTAACACCTGCTATTTTGAAAATGCACTACAAATCACTCTCTTTCCCTCAAAGTAAAAGAAAGAAAAGAGGTGAAGTTTGGTAACTTGCATTTCAGTGTGTTAAACAATAAATTTTCGGGGGGGGGGGGGGGGGGAGGGGGGAGTGAAGAGAAGGTTGGTCCGTACCATTGCACAGCACCATGTCTTGTGTTCATAACTATGTCCTCATAACTTCTAATAAACTGTCCACCCACAGAGTGAGGTTTTGACTACTGGCTGCACAAATATCACACCTTGACAACTCCTTAAAAGCATTGTTTTGGTTTACCTGAATTTGTCTCCTCAGCAGAAATCCAGTTTCCTTCCTGTGCTAATTCTTTTAAGAGTCTCCTACGCATCTGTCTCTTTTCCCTCAGCACATTTTTGAAATTGTTGATGCATTTGTTCAGGTAGATGGTCTCTGCGCAAACCTTGTCGAGGCTCATCGGTCTGCAGTCCTTCGCTGGCTCAGGTAGAGAGTTCACATCTCCCCCCAGCTCCTCAGGAGGTAAGCGTTGCCCAGCCGGGATTTCACACTCGGAAGATGGCATCGCACTGGAAACGGGAGGCTCATGTGGAACAGAGGAAAGGCTGGAAGGAACAAGCTGCATCTGACCAGATGCTTCACTGTTGGCAGTTGTGTTTGCCTGGCTCTCAGAGGACTGACTAGGAGGGGTTTCGGCAAAGTTGTCAGAGCTGCCACACATACCTGAACTGGTCAGCATCAGTGTATTGTCATCATCCATCTGTAAGCCACTATCATCTTCCAGAAGGGCTTCAGAATCGCTTGTCTCCAGTTTGTGAAACACCACCTGCAGAGCAGACCTGAAGTGATGAATAGCTTTCCCAAGCTTATTAGTGTAAAACTTCATGTCTACAAGATCAATGTTGTCCCGGGAATGGTCAAGGAAATACTGGGAATTTTCCAGGACATCCCTAAAGACCTGATCAGTTGGATCTTGATCATTCAGGTCCATTTGGATCATATCCTTCAAACTGTCACTACTGTCAGCCATTTCATCTGTTGTATGATCATAGCTAATAGTTGTCACCCCACTAGAAACATCTTCTCTTTGAATATCAGCTTTCTCCACACCGGTGAGTTTGCATGGGTTATCACCATCTATGTCAATCTCTTCTGTGGTTATCCCTTCATCTTTATCTAGAATGGAAGAACAATTCTCAGTGATACTTTCAGTGTCAAGCTTGTGCTCGCTGCTATTGCTTGAAGCAGATATCTGGCTTGCATGGCCTGAAGAGTCAGATGAGCAGCAGTAATTTCCATCACTTGATTTGGTCAAACTGCTCACCTGAGGATTTTGCAGAGATTCATGAAGGGCCTGGTGATGACTGTCATCTGAAGGATGCTCACTGCAGCTTATTGACTGTGCTTCCTTCCCACTTTCAGGCACCAAATTGCTTTTCTTAGTCAAGGTTGATTTTTGCACAGAATCAAGTCTCTCCCCTACACACTGTGTTTTCTTGCTCGTGCTTTTATTCTTAACCTGGCCTGAGTCCGTTCGAAGGTGCCCACCTCCATCAGGATCCACTGAGCTGCGATGGTTCTTCTTGAAGCCAGCCTGTGAAGAGACTGAATCTGTTTTGTGGCCCCTTTGGCCACTCTTATGCTTCTGCTCTTCACTGGTAGCAACCCGGACCCCTGAGCTTTGCAGAAGGGCAGACTTCTGTAAAATAAAGTCTCTCTGTTCACAACTGACAAGTTTCACAACTGCTGGTCTTGGCGTTAGTGGCTTGCCTTTTCCAATATCTGATCTATAAGCATCTTTTATATACTTACTGTACTGGATACCATTGAAACAGTGATATTCAGACAAGAAGTTACAGATAAGCTCTAGTGTGTTCTCACCATCTTCTTCTGGGATGCCATAAAAATACAACACTGGCTCTTCCTTGTGTGCCTCCTTACTTGACTCCCGAGCATGTGTACCCTGGGTTTTGCTTGCGGAACCACTTTGCAGGCCTTCTATCTCACTCAAGACCGTGTCCACACAGCTGGAGACTTCATCCACAGAGCCTTTTATCAACGTGAGATGCTCCCGGAGCTCTGCAATCTCTGTCTGGATGCGACTTATTCCCTGGAGCTCTTTAACAATATAATCAACCACGTCAGCTGAGCGATCTTTCGATTGCCGTCTACGACTCTTGTATGTGGTGGGGGTTTCCTGGAGAAAGTAATCCTGCCTTTCAGCTACCTCGCTCCAGCTCATGGTAACGCTCAGGGAAGAACGGTCCTGTCCCTCAGACACTCTGCCCTTTCTTTCAGAAGAGGTCTGCATTGTACTATCAGAAGAAGTTCCCTGTAAGTCCTTCTTGTTCTGTTGGACTGAGCATGGTATTTTCACGTAACCATCCCAGTTGAGTTCCACCTCGCCAACACACACTTCGCTCACTCCTTTGGAATCACGTCCTCCATCCTGATGAAAGTCCCCTCCAGCAGCAGAAAATTCAGTGCTCGCTGAGCTCCTCTTCATTCCACAAACAAACATGTCCGTTTCAATCTCCACTGGGGAGAGCTGGCAGTGATGAGCATGGTTTGGATTCTCATCTACCTGGCCTTGAAGAAACCTCTTCATTTTGTCCCGCAGAAACAAGTGGAGTTTTTGTTTGCGGAATTGCTTCCTGCCCCACAGTTTTACAACAGGTTTTCTGAGCAGAAGCACAATTTCATTTTCTTGCCTTTTCAATCTACTTCTAGCAAACATCAGCACCAGTGCTTCTCATAGTGCCACAAGCTGCACAAGCACACATCAATCACTTCCTAATGCACAACTCGCATCCAGTTTTTACTCTGTCACGAAGCAGCTAACAAAAGAGGGGAGAAAACATTACATTTTGGTTCAGACAGAAATAGCCAAAGTCACTTAAGCAACAGAATGGAAAAAAAACCAACAAAACAGCATACACATAAAAGCAGACAGAAAGAGGATGTGCTATTTAAAGAGTACAGACATCATCTTGGTTTTGGCCACCTCCCCAGATCAGGTCCTTTTTTGTCAAAATAAGCATTCCTCACTCCTTCTTATACCCAATAAAGTAAGATAAAATTAAAAAGAGTAAAAAAAAAAAAAAAAAAGGAACAATCAAAGAGCAATTATGTGACCATTCCCTTTTTTTTACCAGGTTTGCAAATTACTAAGCTGAGCTCCTGGCAATTGAGCACTGTGATTTAATTACCCCTCTGAACAGAGAATTCTGACAAGTATAGTGATTCTTCTATCCCTGCATATTTCCTTTCCTTTCAAGTCCATAGTCTTCATCCTTCCTTGCTTCAAACCAAAGCAGAAATCAAGTTTAACTTGGCACAGTACCAGCTATCCCACAAGAATTGCACAAAGTGATGTGAAGTGGCAGGAAAACTGGATGACAGATTTTAAGTGTAAAAACTTGTTATTTTAATATTTTTATCTTAATATTTTGCTATGAAACACTAAAAAAAAAACACTAAAAAAAACCAACAAAACCTTAAAGCTTACAAGCTCCTAAGTTAACCTGTAGTTAAATATGCCACACTCAGCATATGTACGAACAGGCTGAGCTGACAGCATGAAGATTCTGCACGTCACTTCTACTCCAACCCCCAAGATTCTGCAGTGGATCATTTTCCCAATTTAAATCACCACTGTAAAGAGCAACAACAACAAAAAAAGCCTATGTTAACTACTTAAAACTTTTATGGCTCTTCACTGCCGCACTCACTAAGCAACAATCAGCCAGAGGGTAAGGTGGACAGACACCCATACAGAGGTCCTCCTGGAGCCAAGGTCACTGGATGACAATGTCTGATTCAGTTTGGAGACCTCCTGCTGAAACAGATATTCTGACTCGCATTCTTGTTTAAGACCTATAGTAATTGTCTTTCACTTTTATGATTACCTTAGTTCTAAAAACTTTCAGCCTAACTTAAATATTGCCAAGCACGTCCTGCTTCGCCATGTTTTTTGCCATGTAGAAAGGATCAGAAACAGGGGGTTTAAACTTGTTTTAGCTTTAGCGGGTTTAAGACTAATGTGTGGCTGTTCCATTTGCACCTTCTTTGGCTCTCCCAAGGTGGTCTTTGCAACCCTGAAGCCTTCTGGGGGGCGGGACACATGTAGTCCCAATAGCACCCACCGGGGATCGCTGAACCAGGTGCTGAGCCCAAATGTTTCATGCTCTCATGGTAAGCAGAGGACAAAACACTACCATAGCTCTGTCTGCACTTGATTGAGGCCCAATCCATTGGGCCTCCCAATTCCAAGCATTCTTACTGCCCAAGGGCCAGCTCCAGAGCTCACAGGAGCTTTCACCTAGTGCTTCTTTCAAATATCACACAATCTCAAAGCACTAACTCAAAGTTTCTATACCTGCACCAATCCCAAACTGCTGCAGTGCAGAAACCCTCCCTAACACATCCTCCAGCTCCAGATGACAGCCATTCACACTACCACCAGCATTTCTCTGTCAGTGAGCGTTTTCATCCTGGTGAACATCTTGTTTTCATTTTTGCTGTTTCATTTTGGGGGCAGGGAACAAGAGAGTGGGTTTTGATCTGGAGGAAGCAACATTCACAAATACCACTCTCTATAATCAGAGCTAATTAATATGCTATAACACAGGCTGCATCTGTGCTTCAGGTTTAAGCTCCATCATCCAGCATTTAAGCTGAACTTCTATGACAAAGATAATACCTGCCCTTATGTAGGCTAAACAAATTCCCTGTTTGATTGTCAGCTTCTTAAAGAAAACATATTTTAGTTTCTATATAAAATATAGAACAGGTTGCCCAAGGAAGTGGTGGATGGTCCATCCCTGGCAGCGTTCAAAGCCAAGTTGGATCATGCCTTGGACAACATGATCCAGTGTGAGCTGTCCCTGCCAGTGGCAGTGGGTTGGAACTGGATAATCTTAAGGTCCTTTTCAATCCAAACCATTCTATGATTCTATAAATTTTCAGGCCATTGGTCCATAAAGACCAGGTCTTCTTTTTGAGGTCTTTCTCATCTATTTCCTCATGGGACAGTGTTGACCTGAGAAATACTTGCTCAAGCTCGCCTCTTCTCCCACTTACACAGTTTACCTTCCAACTGAGTGGCTAACTGGTGTTTAACACCAGAAACACACTTTTGTATCAGTATCAAGAAGCAAACCCTCAGGGAGCAAGCACCTGAATTCAACAGCAGCCAAGAAGAAGAGCTCTACAGCTATGGCTCCCTACACATGTTGCTTGAGGGGAGCACAGAGATGCTAATTTCAAGTATTTACCAAGATATTGTACCCCAAACAGTAGGAGAAAAGCCTATACCTGCTTGTGCATGGATTCCTTCAGAAAGCTCAACATTCCACACTTCTTTTTGCATGCAGGTTTCAAGGCACCAGAGGGGCTTAATGATCAATTTAGTGTTAACAAAAAAGAAATCTGTTCTAGCAGGAGTTCACCCTCATTTCCTTTGTCTGCTGCAGCTCTCCAGCAGCAGTTTGTTAAGGAGAACACTTATTCCTGCTGAACACTTAACTTGCAGCCGTTTCAAAGCAGGCAGCTCAGTGCAAACACTACAATGCTGTCATTTTTAGTTATATATGTAGTGTTTGTGGTATATACATATGTATGCATAGGTATATATAGATACATAGAAATACTTACTTTATTGGAGGTTTTTGAAAAACTATCTTTGATTCCCAATACCAGCAATATCTTTCCAGCAAGAGCTTCCTCCAGGAAACAAGGCCAGAGCAGAACACGAGGATGGCAGCTCCGGCTCAGAGGGAAGCCTTCTACCTCCCCATGCAGTGGGTGGCAGTGAACGGAAATATCCATTTCCATTAAAGAGCAAATCACTGCCCACTGACAAGAATGACAAGAAGCAAGAAGCACCTCTCCCACAGGATTCCTCCCTCCAATCCCCATATTCTACCACCCCAGAAACACACTCAGACCTGGGTATTCCCCCTCCTCATCCTTTGGGCTGGCTCCACAGTGCCTTTGTACCTCCTGCCAGGGTCCTCCGTTCCTCCTTCCACCCAGGGTTGCGTATGTGCTCCTGTCCCCTTCCAGCACTCTAGCCTAAGTGCTCTGCAGTCACTTGTCTCCCTGTGAAGATCCCTTACTCCTCTGATGTTACCTGTGTTAGGGTCATACTCCTTTGTAGCACAGATAGGCAAAGTGACAATGGAAATTAATGCATGTTCAGCCAGGAAAAAAAACATAAAAACCTTATTTGGATGCAAATCACAGAATCACAGACTGGTTTGTGTTGGAGGGTTGGAAGGGACCTTAAAGCTCATCCAGTTCCAACCCCTGTCATAGGCAGGGACACCTTCCACTAGAGCAGGTTGCTCCAAGCCCCGTCCAACCTGGCCTTGAACAATGTCACAGCTTCTCTGGGCACCCTGTGCCAGCGCCTCGGCACCCTTACAGGGAAGAACTTGTCCTTCATATCTAATCTAAATCTCCCTCTGACAGTTTAAACCCATTCCCCTTTTTCCTGTCCCTACAGGCCCTTGTCAAAATCCCCTCTCCAGACTTCTTGTAGCCCCCTTTAGGCACTGGACAGAGCAGAATCCTTGCTGAAGTCTTTTTCTCTTCCAGAATCAATCCTGGAGTCTGCACATAACAAGAAATCAAGTCTTTAAAGAAAAAGTATTTGCATCCTGGTATCCTGCCAGATACTGCAGGCCCTCACTGACTACATGATCTTCATTCTGACTGCCTTTTTAGCAGGCTTTTCTCTCCAGGAGAATTCCATGCTCAGTTCAGCCCAGTTGTCTCTGGGTTGGCAGACTGAAGGGTGGCATGCACCACTTCTATATCCCCCAACTCCCCAAAAGGAAGCCAGGCTCAAGCTAAGCAGGAGGAAGACATTGCTGGCTTTACTTGAGGATATTTAGGTTGTTTTGCTATTGCCAGGATGACAAATTAAGATTTTAAACAGGGGAAAGAGGTGAACTATGACCAATAATGCACAGCTTATTACCTTGTCACCATGCACACTTCCAAAATATCCTTGAAATATATGAGTAACAGTTATTTCTCCTCCTTACATATGATTTGCTCTAATAATAGGAGCAAAACCATGGCATACCAGCACCAATGAGTGACAAAAAAGAACATGAAAAATCCCATGAAGGAATAAAATGCGATTATGAGATCTCTGCTTAGCTGGGGATCAGTCACACTTTACACTTAATAGCATCCTGGGGAAGATCAGGCTCTCACCAGAGAGATGGCTCCCATCACCCCTGAGCAGCATCTTCACTTCTGTGAGCCACTGGGCAAGGACGGTTCAAAACCAAGGCAGCACTGCAATGCCTTCAGCACTGCCTTGCACAGCAGTGATATAGCTGCAGTCAAGTGGAAGAACAGGTGGTGAGAGCAGCACCACTACATCCTTTAAACCTCTGCAGAGATGAGGTAGGTTTATCTTACAGAATCACAGAATGATACAGGTTGGAAAAGACCTTTAAGATCACTAAGTCCAACCACTAACCTAACACTGCCAAGTCCACCACTATCCATATTCCGAAGTCCCACATCTCCCTGTCTTCTAAATACCTCCAGGGATGGTGACTCCACTACTTCCCTGGGCAACCTGTTGCAGTGCTTAACAACCCTTTTTACTGGCTATCTGGTTTTCATGCCATGAACAGAAATACTGAGACATCTGTACCCCGCACCATGTTAAGAAGGCGCTGGTACCCCAGGGTAGACATGATGTTCAGAGTCACCTGCAAAGAGGTACAAAACCTATCAACTCTGACTAAAAAAAAAACATTTCACAGCAGCCTCTCTGGCTATCGACTCATGCCACCATGGCACTGAGTGAAGTCTTTTAGATTAGACTGTATTTATAGTATGTGCCACGCAAAGTGGTATTGCATTACCTGCACTAGCAGTTAGTAAAAAGCAGTAAAATTACTGATAAATGGTCTTGCTGCTTTGTAAAGAACCATTTAAACATCAAGTATATCAATAAGTAAAATGCAGGACATTCTGGAGGAAAAAAAAAAGGTTTTGGCATTAACAAGAAACAGAAATCATGGCTAAGGCTGCCATAGCAACATCGCCCCAGCATTCCGCATGCTGAAACATCCACTCTTCCTGGGAGTATTATAGCATTTTTAAACACATTAATTGCTCAAAGAATCTTAACAACAAGGCTTAACAGACATGTGAAGGGTTACCACCAGCTTCACCTATTTCTGACTTCTGGACATGAGGATGCAATTTTCTAATTAACATGATGAGATTTAATTTTGTGTTGGAACATACCTAAACATGACATCATCACTTGCTTTTGAGAATGTGTCTGTTTTCAAACCTTCTCCTGATAATTAACAAGAACTTTAACTTTTAAGTCCTGGCATGAGTGATGGGAACAAGAAGGTGATGAGCAGAGTGATCTTGGGCAGAGCAACAGGATCAGAGAACAAAATGGACTCTTGAAAAATGTATTCACCTCAGGACATTTTGACTAAAAGCAAGGTACAGAGAGATACATGGCACTTCACAGTGGATTAAAGAGGAAATACATCTATACTATTGAAAATGCAGTAGTTACAAAAGGATGAGAATTATTTAACAATGTGAGCAAAGAAACTATTACTACGCAGTTGCTCGGTAACCCTTTCACGGTCCTATTGCATCCAAACCTCAGCCTAGGTTCTTGTTCAGGAATTACAGCAAAACCACATCCCAGCCCTGCCTGCAGAACTTTCTGAAATTTTAAGTACTTCCAACAACGTCTGCAGGTTTCAACTGTACCTACAGGTTTGTTTCAATAAAGGTGG